CTGACGGCCCCGCCGTCCCTTCCTGCCGGCCCCGCCGTCCACTCCTGACGGCCCCGCCGTCCCCTCCTGACGGCTCCTGCCGTCCCCTTCTACCGGCCCCGCAACTGCACCTGCTGGCCCCGCCGCTGCACCTACCGGCCCCCACCACCCCCCCCCCCTTTTCCCGTCGCCCGTCGCGGCTCCTTCGGGGGCAGGTGTGTGGCCTCCCCTGCTTCTCCTCCTCCTTCATCTCCCACTGCAGCAGCCGAGCCGCTCACCTGCAGCAGCCGAGCCGCCCCACCGCCGAGCCGCCCTGCACCCGAGCCGCCCAGCAGCCGAGCCGCCCTGCCGCCGAGCCGCCGGGTCGCTGAGCTGCTGAGCTGCAGTTGCTGCCGAGCCGCCCTGCCGCCGAGCCGCCGAGTCACCGAGCTGCTGAGCTGCAGTTGCTGTTGAGCCGCCTTGCCGCCGAGCCGCCCGAGTCGCCCGAGCCGCCGAGCCGCCGAGCTGCCGAGCCGCTGAGTCGCCGAGCCTACTCTTCCCACCACTGGTGAGCTCTTGCCCTGCTAGCACGCTGCGCGTCGCCTGCTTGCCTGCCTGCCTGCCTTTTGGCTTGCCTGGCTGCCTGCCTTCCTGCTGCTAGTCCTGCTCCTGCTTCTACTTGCGGAGCCAGATGCAGCCCCAGCGACGCCTGCGTGAGTCCCTCACGCCCCAGCAGCTGCGTGCGTGGTACGCTGGTTGGGGCTGTAGGGGTGGCGGCGCTACTCCTACTACCACTCCTGCTGCTTCTACTCGTGGTGGCGGCCAGATGCAGCTCCCCCGACCCTCTCGCGTGTCTCTCACGCCTCGCCAGCTTCGTGAGTGGTACGCTCAGAGTGGAGGGTCTCTCAGTGCTGTTCGCTGCTCTTACGTGATACGCACTGGTACTCGGACTGGTCAGCCTTGTGGGACACGTAGTCATACACCGTCCCGCTGCTTCGCCCGTCTGAGCGACGCCTGGCGTACCGTGTTTGGCGACGAGGCTGAGCTTCCCGACTGGGTGGAGTTGCTTAGGCAGAGGGTCGATATATATGCTCTTGACTATGATGCTATTCTCACTGCCATGTATGCATTGCCTACTAGTGCTGACCGTGCCGGTCACCTGTGCGTCCCGCCTGACCCAGGTATAGGACCTGCTGCTCTAGCTACTGGTGAGGCTGCTGCTCTGGGTGCTCGTGAGTCTCCTGCTCCAGGTACAGGTGCGGCTGCTGCTCTAGGTGCTAGTGAGTCTGCTTCCTCAGGTGCGGGTGAGGCTGCGCTCTGATACCATGTGATAATAAGCAAACAGGAATGAAATGACTAAGTCAGGGTTGGGTACAAATACAACCCTAGAAAGCTGTACCCCACATGTGCTACCCCACTATAGCCTACAAACATGCATCAGCTATAGTAATCTGACAGCAAGACCGATATTTTAAAGCAATTCATGTTTTATCTTATACCCATGCATGCAATGCAACGTGAAGACGAGAAAGAGATTGGCTAAGACAGGCGACCCCAGTGATGCTTGAAAAATAATTATCATAAGGGCGGGTCCGAAGTGACCCTCGGCATCGATCTGACATCCATCCGTCATCCAATGGATGACGGTGGCGTATGACAGGGGACGACGGACGGATGTCAGATGGATGTCGAGGCACTTCGGACACAATACCAGCGACATAACTGCCCCAAAAATGCAGGCCGGCACTGCTGGCGCCGGCAATGGCAGACCAGAGAGAATATTGAAGGTTCAATTTTGAGTCACGAATTTCGCGAACTTGTTTCGTCACCACACCACGTACAAGTCACGAAGGGCTGTCGCTTGCCAAGAAATACTTTCGCCACGGTTCTCCCTCAAATTTTGTTATCAATAAATTGGTTCGTCAATCACCACGTTGACCAGCCCGAGGTCACTGTTGGCGGCACCCTTTGACTGTAATAATTACACAGAGCTGGATGGCGGATGGATGTCGGATGGATGTTAGATCACTTCGGACACAATGCCGGCCTGAAAAATCTCACCTACCACCCTGACATCCGTCGACATCCATCGACATCCATCGACATGTCAATTCGGACACGCCCTAACAGTATAGAGGAATGTTGATATTTGTTTCTTTTTTCTAGTTGTAATAATATATGCCCCATACGGTGTAGCGTTATTGGCAGTTGCAAAATCCAGCATAAATATGTGGTACGACACCCACCTCCATGCTTTTCGTTTTGGAATGGATCTGTCCAACTAGCCACTCACATCGCGTCGCTGATGGGGTATGTGCCGAACCACGTAACGAGTCTTCCGAAAACTGTTGCTGCTAACAAACCGTACATCTTTGTTTGGGTTGCATTGAATGATTTGTGCTGTGCTGACCAGGCCCGCAACAGAATTTCCAACTCGACGAGTTGGAAATTCAACGGGGATGAAGGTTGAACTTGGCAGTCCTGCGTCTTACGTTGTTACACACGATGCTCAACCCCTGTGCGCGAATTTTTCCTTTCCACAATAGAAAGTCTGCACCCGTGTTTGTTTACCAGCCTGTTGCACCTACATTGTAGTCCTCTCAAGCAAGTTGCAGTAGTTATGAACCGATACGAACCGCAGAAACTGAAGTCAAACAGAAGAAACTGAAGTTAAAATGTCAATAGAGAGTTATAAAATTTCTATAACCCCTTTCAAGCTAGATGCGACATTTTCGTAATTTGCGAAATATTAGAACCACTTGAAAGCCTCCTGTACAAGACAACATTGGATTAGTCAAACGAGCATCGCGTGTACTGCCAGCAAAGCATTCACTCCCTCACCTACACTGAGTTTCGCGCCACACTTACATTCGACATATTGACAAGCCATTTGTACTGACATCAATGCGTCCAAATTGGTCCCAGAACATACCGTATAAGCAATTTTGCCGCACGAAGCCGAACTCAAAAGCACGTTTGTTTTCATAAACCGTTGTCTACCGTTCTCCTGAAGTGCATTTTAGTTGCACGCAACAGCCCGCTGAATCCAAACACACTTTCGAACTGTAGCTGGGCTCCCGATTGTTCAAATATCAAAAATCAGGGTGTACAACCAACCATGAAACTCATCCAATGATGACAGGGACAAGTTTCAGCAATAGATTTCCATATTTTCATTCCGATACAGTACTTTACTGTACTAAGTGGCTAACAATGACTCGTCTGGTTGTTTCACACCTGTCACAGTTGAGATGGCAGCAGCAGAAGCAGCAGAGCACACAACACATATGTATGTGCCCGAATCGCTCACCGGTCCATCTGGGTCGATGGCCCGGTCCCACTGTGCATTCAATTCGGAAAAGAAAAACCTGACACGGTCGCAGTACTGCTGCAACTCACAGATCCAGGTTTGCACTGTAGAGATATCCATGCTGTGTGCGTTGGTGGACGCTGTCGTGTCGTGTAGTGTTCCAGAATTCGGGGTGTGGCTCGACCCGAAAAAATTCAGGGGAATACTCACCAGTATACAGTACCTAGGTTTGGAACTGAAGTTATCTTTCATAATATGTGGGGTCACTAGAGTACTGCCCGAAAACTGCGCACATGGGTCTGCCCGCATTTCTTTAGGGTTGATGCCCCCCCGAGACACATCCATTTCCGATTGGGTTTTAGTTTTTTTTTTTTTTTTTTTGGTTGTCAGGTCTCTCCGGTAGCTTGCGAATTTGTGATACACCCTCATTCTCGTTAGACTGGCATATGTTATACTGACCGAGACGCTTAGTGTAGCCGCAGCGGACCAAAGAAGGTCCTATCACATGCGTTATACTGACAGTTTGATCCATTGCGTTTAGTCGAGGTTTTTTACGTTCTAAAATGGTAATGCTGTTTTTTAAACGGTTAAGACAGTCATTCAGCTTTAACGGAATTTTACTGCCCAAGTCTGGTTTCGTCGCCTCGTGCGACTTGGCCCGCAACCGAGTTATCTTACCAGCCCGCTACGCTCAAACACTGTAGCCACTGCTTTCGCTGGTGAGAAGACTGAGAATTAGGGTGTACATGGGTGTATGCGGAGCTGAGTTCTGTATTGTTGCAATATCTTTCCCGTCGGAGGGACAGAGGGGCGGAAAGTGTCCGTAACCAGCACTGTACTTCCTTGGAAAGCGCAGGGTCGCTAGTGCACATGATGCCAGGGTTGAGCCACTCCCGGTTGCCTAGTGAAGGGAGCACTTAAGCTGTTCTTGGATTTCGCATAAGCTTCGTCAATTCGCAGATAGCAAAAAAGGATTCGTCCGGTGCTAATATAGTAGTTATAACTTAGTCGTTGACACTTTGACTTCAGTCGTTTTGTTGCTATTGGTGCAGAACTACGCGACATGCTTGTAACGTGCGTGCAACTGGCTGCGGAAAAAAACACGGGTGTAGAGTTTTCATCTGGTTTATAGAAAATTCGCGTGCAGGGGGTGAGCATCATGTGTAGTACCCCCGCCAAAGCTACTTACCCATTTCCCTGTGGAGCATTCTGGGAGAATGTCATGACATTTCATGTCTGTAGTGTGGCTGACTGCGGCAAGTGCGATACTGTAGTGACCTTCGTCTTGATGTGTGTGTGGGGCTCACTGCACCAAGTGTGATTGTGATCTTCTTGTGTTTCACTCTGCTCCAAGTGTTTTGTCCTAGTGTTCTTCTTGTTTACTCCATTTCAAGTACAAAATCGCAAACGAGTCTCACATAGAGTTCCTTCAGGCAAGTGTCGCGTTATCTATTGAAGTTTCTTTTCACGATGCAATGACGACCTCGTTGTATTCGCTACCATACTTGAAGGAGCTTCTTTATTCACGCCTATTACCAACGCGGCGACAATGGCAGAGACGAGGACTCTCGACCACAGCAATAACGACACCTCTTCCGCCAGTTCGTTACCACGTCGAAAAGTAGACTCTCGCAGAATTAAGAATACGCGTGGGGGGTTCAATATTACTACTACCCCGTCGACCCCAATCGACACGCGGTTCTCGAAGGCAGGACTCGCCGCAGATGCCGCAATGGTCGCAATCTATTCGCGACATCACGACGGTCATCGTCATCGCGACGATGTTGACGCTGGTTATGGCGATCGAGTCGCGGCTGGCGACCGACTTTTCGATGAGGACCGAGTCTTTGATGGCGGCTGGTCTGCTGTGACGACGTCAGACGACGCGCGGTTCCCCACGTCGTCGAGTCACCGCCGAATGCGGCTTCATCCACCAGTGAACCCCGAGTTCCACTCTCGCCGCGAGGAGGATTGGTCGTTAGATTCAGAATCGTCGTTATACTCCAAAGCGCCGTTATTCTCAAAATCGTCGTTATTATACCCAGCGCGGCGATTATCGCACCATTTATCTTGGCGCGGTTCCGATTCTCGCTCCCTGGTAGATTTCGGCGTTTACAAGAATCGCGAGACGGAGAATATGTTCCGTATTCCGAGAATTCGAAAATCTCCGAGTGCAAAAACGGAGATTAGGTTTTCTCTTAGCGGTACTCGTAGCAGCAGCAGCAGGAGCCGTAGTAGTAGCCGTAGTAGTAGTGTAGATAGTATTGAGTTGCTGGGTCGACGTTGCGGCTGTATCCGGACCTCGAGGGCTCGGCGCGCTGCAAACATCTTCCCATTTTTTCACGGAACCCGCTGGAATGCCGGCGCGTTCACGATGACGTGGCTGGTACTGTTGCTGACGTGCCAGTGTGCAGTTTTTTGGACGACCGTGGGAGCAGATGTTGCGGATACGGTGGTGGAAGGAAGGCATCCCGCGAGCAGAGACATAAGCTTTGAACCCCTAGGATGGAGTGACCGTGCTGAAAAGAGGAGCGCCGGCGACGCACCGTGGTCAAGCAGTTTCATAAATTCTCAAAGTTACCGGAGTTCTCAGGGTTCTCGGAGCGCTGCGGACGGCGGTTCAGCGGGATTTGAGCGCGACGCTCAGCGCGCATCCCTGGTAAAGGAGGAGGCGCCGGATTCGGCGCCGTCGATGGTCGATCCGCAATTTAGGCTTCATGGGGCCTTGCACTACCAGCACCGGCAAGTCGACGCGTCAACGACGCTGTTACCCCTCGATGGCAAAATGCCTTCGCAACGAGTCTCCCCGGTCGTAGCACCCTCGCGCCAATCGCCGCGCGCGACGAACGAAGCTGCTTCTTCGGTTTCGTCCCAACCTGTTTTGTCGGACCTAGCCGTGTCGCCGTCGATCACGATTGGCTGCCTCGTGCCTGTGGATCTCACCCCCGACAGCGTTCACATGCTTGCCGGTACTACCAAGGGGGGGTTTTTGGAATAGTCCAGAAAATGGTGCTTCAGTGTTGTAGTGTTGTCTCCCACGCTCTTCTCCCCTTCACGCAGTCCTTCCTCGTACAATGCGCTTCCCCCCACACTACCCTTCCCCCCAGGCTGCGCTTTCCCCCACGCTGTCCTCCCCCACGCCGTCCTCCCCGCTGCCCTCCCCAACCCCTCACCCCCCCCAGCCGTGACTCTAGCAGTGGGTGAGATCAACCTGTCCAAGTCGCTGCTGCCAAACCACACGCTGCTGCTCGCGCCGCTCAACTACACCACGCAGCCCGTTGCAGGGCAGATGGCAGGTGCGTAACCCATGTTCCCCATTTCAAACCAGAGACTGTATCCTCACTGCTGTAACACACCCCCCCCCCCCCCCCCCTCCTCCCCCTCCTCCCCCCACCCCCGCCCCCCCATCCACCCCCCCACCCTCCTCTTCACCCCCCACCTCCCGCTACTCCCCTTCCCCTCCCCCCCTTTAACTCCCGCCTCCGTTCCCCCCAACCTCCGATTGCCCCCCTTAGCTTCCCCCAGCGCTCCAGCTAGCCTCAATGGATTCTCTACCCGTGGCGGTGGTGGGACCGCACAACTCGGACCCTTCGCCTCTCCCGCACGCAACTCGGACCAGGCCGCGCTGCCCATACAACCCTTTCTCCCCACCTTCTTCCAGCCCTCCAGCTGGCGTCAATGGATCTCATGCCCGTGGGGGTGGTGGGGCCGCGCAACTCAGACCAGGCTGCTCTGCCCAAACAACCCCTCACCCGAATCCCCCTCCCCACTCCTCCCCTCCCCCTCTCCCCCCTTCCCCCTCTCCCCCCCTTCCCCCTCTCCCCTTCTCTCCCCCTCCTCCTCTCGCAGCCCTCCAGCTGGCGTCGATGGATCCCATGCCCGTGGCGGTGGTGGGGCCGCGCAACTCAGACCAGGCCGCGCTGGTCAGCCCGCTGGCGGCGTTCGCGCAGGTGGGCAGGGAGGGAAGGGTGGAACCGCGCAAGTGTGGGGAGGGCGGGAAGGGCGTCACATACGGATGCCATGTGTGTGTGTGGGTGTGTGTGTCGTGTGTGTGTGTGGGTGTGTGTGTCGTGTGTGTGTGTGGGTGGCATGGCATCGAAGAAGCTCGGCGCCCATAATGACGTGTCACGTTCGTCCTAACCTCTCTTCTTTCATCCCAACCTCCGTCCTTGCTCTATCTGCCCCGCCCCTATCCCCTTTGTGTCGCCGTCCGCCACTGACGTGTGGCTGACAGCGGGACGTGCATTTGAGATTTCTCAGCAGCAGCCCCCCTCACTGTCTTGTCACTTTTCCCTCCGCTTTCCCTCCAAACATCCTCCTCTTGTTCTTTGCCGCCCAGATCCCCTTTGTGTCGCCGTCCGCCACGGACGTGCGGCTGACAGCGGGTGGCGACCGGCCGTACTTCATGCGAACCATTCACAACGACGGCATGGACATGCGCGCTATTGCAGGTGAGACATGGTGACACTCTGGCACGTGCTGCTGTGCACAGAAGATGAGGTGATGCGTGCGGCTGACGGTGAGGGATGATCAGCTATACTTTGTGCGCACCATAACAATGACGGCATGGACATGTCCATTGCAGGTGACTGTAACGAAAGTGACGGTAGCAGTGAGCAGCTTGGCGGTTCTGGTGGTTGTCGTTGGTGGTGATTGTGGTTGGTGCGACATACTCTGCGGTGGTGCGATTGTGACAGGTGCCATCGCATCTTGATGTGCCCTGCAAGGCAGGAGGAGGTTACTGGCTGGTGTAGCCTGTAAACCATAAATTGGTGACCATCCTTCACTCATCCATCCATGACCCTTCTCTTCCCCTCATCCGCCCACCTTTGTCCATGACCATCCTTCCTCTGCAGAGTTCCTGGCGTTCAACAAGTGGAGCGAGGTGATCGTCATTCACAGCGACAACCGCTTTGGCCGCAACGGCATCGCGTCTCTCAACGGCTACCTCTCCGTACAGGAGGTGCGCCCTCTTGAAATTGAAGCTCACGCGCCTCAGCGCCTATCTCTCTCCATACAGGAGGTGCACGCGTGTGTGTGTGCCCTCATCCCACCCGGCACTTTTATGTGCCGACTCTCTGTAGGCGGTACTTCTCTACAATTCTAACGAATCTGCCTGCATTGAGTACACGCTATGGTTGTTCGACACGCCTCTCACTCCGCTGCTTCTGCTCTTGTTTCTCCCCAACCTTGGCTCTCTCAGCAATGGAAGGTCAGGATCGCGACACGTGTGCCGATCAAGACGACGTGGTCGGTGGCGGATACCGCAGCAGCGCTGGCAGCAGTGGAGCGGCTGGATCCGGCGGTCTTTGTGGTGCATGCCGCTGCTGCCCTCTGCGCTGTCATCTTCTCTGCTGGTACGCCTGCCTAGAACTTTTGAGACTGCTCAAACTTCGGCTACGGCTATTCTGTAATTCAGTCTATGGTTATCATAGAAGTGACTTTTTGACAATTCTCAAAAGCGATTTCAGTCTGTGGTTATCTTAGGGCTGACTGACCCGCTCCAACGATAGGACACATCCCTTCCTTCCTCCTGCCACACCTTCCCCGCCTGTCACATCGCATGCATGCAGCGAATCAAATGCAGCTGGTGGGGAAGAACTTGGTGTGGGTGGCATCTGAAGTGGGGGCAGCGCTCATATCATAATGACGTGACATGTCACCTTCGTTTGTTCCTTCCTCCTTCCACATTCCCCCCTCCTGCCACGGTCCCCGCCTGTCACATCGCATGCATGCAGCGAATCAGATGCAGCTGGTAGGGAAGAACTCGGTGTGGGTGGCATCGGAGGGGGCGGCGCTGGTCAACTCCACCGTGCTGCAGAACGTCGAGGTGAGATGGGTTGCTGGTGGATCTCTGCGAGTCTGTGGGGCCTGGGGCAGTGGGATGGGGCCTGCACAGCACTGAGGTGTGTCGAGTCAAACGGGCATTGGAGGGGGGCGGCGCTGGTCAACTCCACCGTGCTGCAGAACGTCAAGGTGCGGTGGCGCCTGGGGTAGGGGCGCCTGGGGTAGGGGCGCCTGGGGTAGGAGCGCCTGGGGTAGGGGCGCCTGGGGTAGGGGCGCCTGGGGTAGGGGCGCCTGGGGTAGGGGCGCCTAGGGTAGGGGCGCCTGGGTAGGGGCGCCTAGGGGCGCCTGGGGTAGGGGCGCCTGGGGTAGGGGCGCCTGGGGTAGGGGCGCCTGGGGTAGGGGCGCCTGGGGTAGGGCGGTCTGGTTAGAGGTGGCTGCAGAACGTAGAGGCGAGATGGATTCTCGTGTCCCTCTCACCCTCCTCGCATCTCATCTCACTCACTCCCCTCACATACCTCTCACTCATCTCATACCCCTCTCACTCGTCTCGTCTCATATCCCTCACACCCTCTCTCACCCCCCTCACACCCGCTAACTCCTCCCACACCCTCTCACTCCCCTCACACCCATGCCACCACCAGGGCAGGGTTATCACATCGACCTACCTCCCTCCATCTCCGCGTCTCACTTGTACCACTCTCATTCTTCTCATACCCCTCTCAACCCACACACACACCTCTCCCCCTAACACCCGTGCCACCACCAGGGCATGGTGATAACCTCAACCTACCTGCCTCCATCACCGCGCCTCACCTCGTTTCGGGAGAATTGGGCCAACCTGAACCCCATCCGCTTCCCCAACGCTAGCAAGGAGGTGAGTTCGTCTCGACATCTTTTCAAGCAGAGAGTGGAACTGTGGAACTTATTTCGAGGGCCCCTTAGTCAGTCAGTCAGTCAGTCAGTCACTCAGTCAGTCAGTCAGTCAGTCAGTCAGTCAGTCAACCTGTCAGTCAACCTGTCAGTCGGTCAGTCAGTCCCGCTCCCTGGCGGCCTGTTACACCTCATACCCCGCCATCTCTCCTCCCTGATCTATGGCAGCACTGGGGGCTTCCAGTAGGGAAAGCGACCTCTCTCAGCTTCACGCTGCCTTTCTTTCCTTCCCCTCCTCTCCCTCATCTCCCTCCTCACGCCTCCTTCCCCTCCAGGAGCCCAAGTCGTACACGATAGCAGCATACGACGCCCCTTGCCTCCCTCTATGCCCATCCTTGCCCTCCTCCCGTTCCTTCCCCTCCTCTCTCATCTCCCTCCTTTCCCTCTCCTCCAGGAGCCCAAGTCGTACACACTAGCAGCATACGACGCCACGTACCTCATAGCCTGGGGGCTGCACTCCCTGCTCTATGTCAATCACAGCACCGCCACCACTGGCAGCACCAGCAGCAGCAGCAGCAGCAGCAGCAGCAGCAGCAGCAGAAGCAGCAGCGGCAGCCTCACACAGTGCAATGCTGACCCTTCATCCCCTTCTTACTCACACATAAATCGCCCACACCCGCCTCTTTCACCCCCTTCTCACTCTCCTCATTCGCCCATACGTCACCCACACCCACCGGTATCACCCCCTTCTCACCCACTCCCGCCCCATGCACCCCCACCTCCCATATCCTCACCCCTCTGGCCGGGAACGACCCGTGCTGCTGCTGCCGCCGCCGCCACTGCTGCTGGTGCTGCTGCTGCTGCTGCCGCCGCTGCCACTGCTGCTGGTGCTGCTGCTGCTGCTGCTGCCGCTCAAGGCTCTGATGCTTCCGGTTGCAATAGTGGCACTGCTTTGACTTCTTCTCCTACTCTGCAAACGGACTACAGGAACGCGGTCAGCAGGAAGCATGCTCCGCAGCTGCGTGGGCTCAAACGGAGCTTAGGTGAGTGAGATTGCTAACTGACAAGGTAGTTTTCAAATCAGGTGAGAAGAAAGAAAACAAGGGTGAGGTGGTCGCAGTTAGGGGTGCTCGAGCGAGGTGTATTTTGAGGTGCCTCAAAATACACCTCACAAGTTTGTTTTCAAATCAGGTGAGAAGAAAGAAAACAAGGGTGAGGTGGTCGCACTTAGAGGAGGAGCTCGAGTCGTGCTCGTACGAGGTCAACTTTACAAGGTCAGCTTCGGAAGGTCAATGGCCTGACCACTCGACTTGAGCCACCTTCTGAACTGGGTCAGAGAGTTATGTTTGAGAACGTTTGTATTTCCCTTCTTCGTCACCTTTCCCCCTTTCTGTTTCTCTCTTTACCTTCCCCTCTTTTGGCAACTCCTCTCTCCCTGCTCGTTCACGTGTGCAGTGGGCCCCATGCTTCGCCAAGCCATGCTGTCAGCCACTTTCGACGGAGTCAGGGGCAGGTGAGTGAGGATCCAACCCCAGCTCATATACCGGAATAGCACCAGATTTTGATACAGCGTTGCAAAGCAACAAAGGGGTGAAACTGCTGTCTGAAATGGAAGTGTCCCGCAGTCAAACGGAGTCAAATGAGGTATCCTCAACACGTGCGCAGCGCAACCCTGCTCTGCGATTCCTTACCCCACCCTCCCTCTCAATCCCTATCCTCCCCAGGATCACACTCAACGTGCACGGCGACCTGCAGTCCAACGTGGCGCGCATCCTCAACGTGCACATCGGCACCGCCGTGCCTGTCGGTTTCTCTCAACCATCCCCCCAATGAGCGCCCTGTACCCGGGTCCCAATCTCTGTACTGTACTGTACTGTACTGTACTGTGCCCATCCTCCCCACACCACCAACAGGATCACACTCAACTCGCACGGCGACCTGCAGTCCAACGTGACGCGCATTCTCAACGTGATCAACGGCACCGCCATGCCAGTCGGCTTCTGGACCTCCTCCCTGCTCCTCACGCCCTCCCTTGATGTACGCCCCTCCCCTCCCTTGATGTACGCCCCTCCCCTCCCTTGATGTACGCCCCTCCCCTCCCTTGATGTACGCCCCTCTTTGTGTGAGAGCTTTGTGAGATGTACCAATCGAATTTGGACCTTTGATTTGAGTCACCTCATCTCAAGGTATTTGTGAAAGTTGGCTCCTGGACCTCCTCCCTGCTCCTTACGCCCTCCCTCGATGTACACACGCCCCCCTTTGTGTGCGAGCTTTGTGAGCCTTGTGTGATGAGTCGATTTTTGAGTCGACTCAAAAATCGCCCCCCTTTGTGTGAGAGCGTTGTGAGCCTTGGCGAAACCTTTTGAGCCTCCTCTCTGCTCTTCACGCCTTCGCTTGATGCACGCCCCTCCCTTGATGCACGCCCCTAGTTGTCATACACCCCTTTGTGCGAGAGCGATGTTTTATTAGTGTGAGAATTTCTGTGCTGTACATCGTGCAAGCTTGCATCACCCTTTGGGACATCTCGAATCTCGTGTCCGACTCCTTAGCAGCTTTTGAGGCGTTTCAAAAGTCCTTGTCAGCCTGTCACATCACATTCCGTATGAACACCACTTTTGAGTTGTCTGTCACATCACATGCCCCCTGTTTGCTGTGTGCTGTGTGTTGTGTGCATGCGTGCAGCTACCCCCTATGAACGGCACATCACGCATTCTTAACATCACCTTCCCAGGCAATACTACCAAGGTGCATCCTTCCTTCCCTCCGTCCCTCGCTCCTTCCCTCCCTCCCTCCCTCCCTGCCTCCTTCCCTCCCTCCCTCCCTCCCTCCCTCCCTCCCTCCCTCCCTCCCTCCCTCCCTCCCTCCCTCCCTCCCTACCTCCCTCCCTCGCTCCCTCCCTCCCTCCCTCCCTCCCTCCCTCCCTCCCTCCCTCCCTCCCTCCCTCCCTCCCTCCCTCCCTCCCTCCCTCCCTCCCTCCCTCCCTCCCTCCCTCCCTCCCTCCCTCCCTCCCTCCCTCCCTCCCTCCCTCCCTCCCTCCTTCCCTTCCCTCCTACCCCTCCTCCTTCACACCCTTCTACCTGTGCTCTGCCTTTCTACAATTATCTTTGGAGTTTCCAAACTTCCTTTTTAATCGAACATGCCATCGTTCTCCGGGTTCACACTGGGATTGTTCCGCCTGGCGCTCAGCAAGCTGCCGTACGAGGCGGACTAAAACATCATATGCTGTGTTCTAACACACTTTCCATCCCCCACTCTCCGCCCTCCTCCCTTTCACCCCACAGCCCCCCTCAGGCGCCTTTCCGCGGCGCAAGCTGCTGCTAGCCGTGCCTTACAAGAAAGGCTTCCAGCAGTTCGTCAACATCACCTCCTCTTCCGCCTCCCCACCTACAAACGAGACCGCATCATACTCCTTCTCGGGGTTCACCGTGGAGTTGTTCCGCCTGGCAGTCAGCAAGCTGCCGTACAAGGCGGACTATGAGCTCGTGCCGTTTGTAGGGGACGACGGCGGCGGTGCTGACGCTGCGGTGGGATACGACGACATGCTGCAGGCCGTGGCCGATGAGGTAATGACGGGTTTAGGGTTGAGGGTTTCGAGGTTGAGGGTTTAGGGGCGGTGAGGCTCGTGTGGGATACGATGACATGCTGCAGGCCGTGGCCGATGAGGTAATGGCGGGCTTAGGGTTGCTTTTTGTGTTGCTTTTGAGGGTTCTCAAGGCAGTGGTAAGACTTGTGTGCGATGCACAGTGGTAACGGCGGTAACTCTTTCATGTTGGTTTTATGTGGCTGCAATTTAGTTGATCCGTTCATCCAAGTCTTACTTTTGTGTGTATACATGAACACAACTGTCTTTCTGTTCGCCGCTCACATACATACCGGCTCATCGCTCACACACACCTGGTTTGCTGCATATCTGTATGTGGGTGGCAGAAGTTTGACGGGGCCATTGGCGACATCTCAGTGACGCAGGCGCGGAGCAAGCTGGTGGATTTCACACAGCCCTTCATGGTTCGTTGCTCACCTCTCGTCTTTATTTCTCACAGCCCTACACGGTGCATTGCTTATGCTGCCATGTTCATGCACTCTTACTATCAAACATAAGGCTTAGGAAAGCACTTACACTTAGTACCAAACATAAAATCAAGTAACGCACTGATTCTTAGTATTCCCCTTCACCCCTTTCCACCCCGCTTCACCCCACTCCAAACTCTTCTTAACCCTTCCCAATCCCTCTCCATCCCTCCCAGGCATCAGCAGTGAGTGTGATCGCGTATGTGCCGCGCTCTAGCAGCTGGTGGGTGGCACTCGCGCCCTTCACTTCACTCCCATCCTTGTCTCTCCTCCAACCACCTTGAACCCCGTTCAACGCCTCTTTCTCCCTCTCCAATCCCGCTCCACCCCTCTCCATCCCTCCCAGGCATCAGCAGTGAGTGTGATCGCGTACGTGCCGCCCTCCAGCAGCTGGTGGATGGCACTCGCGCCCTTCACGCCCTCCATGTGGGCGGCATTTCTCGGCATGACTTTCGCCACGGGGCTCATCACGGTGTTTCTCGAGTGCCGCCAGAACTGGGAGTTCCAAGGGAAGCTGCACGAGTTGCTGCAGCACGCGCTCTGGTGGGTCCCCGCTCTCTCTTCTTGCTTCATTGGCTGATAATGGGTGGGTAGGCGCCCCGTGTAGGATGAGTAGAATCAAACCAGAACTGGGAGTTCCAATCCAAGGGAAGCTGCAGGATCTGCTGCTGCACGCGCTCTGGTGGGTTGGTCATGCTGGGTTGACGCATGAAGTAGAATCAGACCAGAACGCAGAGTACAAGGGAAGCTGCGCCAGGGGAACCCAGAGTATTTGTGCCAATCCGCCCCTCTCTGTGTTTCCCCTGCCAATCGGTCCCTCTTGTGTTTCTCCTGTTGTGTCCCTCTCAACCCTCCCCCCCACACAGGTTTGGCTACCTCTCTATCTTCTCCTTTCTCGGTACGTACGACCTCCATTTTATTGCTCCACTTTTGAGAAATTTCAAGCGTGATCTTAATATTCCTCTCTATCTTCTCCTTCCTTTGTACGACCTCTATTGCTCCAACTCGTCCCTCCTCTCCGCCACCCTCACTCCCACCCTCACTCTCACCTCACCCTCACTCGCACCCTCACTCTGTCCGCTCCAGCTACACTCAAGTCTTGTGATAACTTCATATCGGGCTCCTGCCGTACCTCTCCCATCTCCTGCCGTACCTCTCCCATCTCCTGCCGTAACTCTCCCAACTCCTGCCGTACCTCTCCCATCTCCTGCCGTACCTCTCCCATCTCCTGCCGTACCTCTACCATCTCCTGCCGTAACTCTCCCATCTCCTGCCGTACCTCTCCCATCTCCTGCCGTAACTCTCCCATCTCCTGCTGTAAACCTTCTCATGCTCATCTCCCGTCTCAAACGCACACCCCTTTTTCCCCCTATTGTTGTTCCGTCTCCCAGAGAAGCCGGTGCGGACATTGATTGCGAGGATCGTGCTGGCGCTCTGGCTGCTGGTGACCTTCGTTGTAGTCACGTCGTTCACAGCCAACATGACGTCTATAATCACGGTCAACATGCTCACAGTGCCCTCGCTGGACGTCAACAGTGTGATCAATGCCAACAACCCGATTGCTTACCAGGCGGGCTCATTCATCGAAGGCTATCTCACGCAGCTGGGCGTGCAGAAGGTACGAAGGGCAAGGGCTATCCACTGCTGCCAATGGGTACAGTGTAGGGTGGACAACCACAGGCAAGGGTAAAAAGGCATCTTCAAGTCGTTCATCGCCTCAAACGGCACTCAAAACAACCCCATCGCTCACTAGGCAGGCTCCTTCCTTGAAGGCTATCTCACGCAGCTGGGCGTGCTTAAGGTAAGGTGGCTCATGTCCCTCCTCTCTTCTCTCTCCCACGCCTCCGCTCTGTATCCTTTATAGCACATCCTGGTACCGTTTAGCATCACAGAGGAGCACTTCTTAGGTGCCTCAATTGCTTACTTGCCTGCCCTTCTGTTCCACGCCCCCTCCCTGTATCTGTACTCCTTACAGCACAACATGGTACCGCTCAACAGTGCAGAGGAGTATAACAGTGCGCTGGTGACTGGGAGGGTGAAGGTGGTGGTGGATGAGGATCCGTATTTGGACCTGCTGCGAGCAAACCACTGCAGCATGGCGCAAGTCAGACAACCTTACTCCTTCCTCAGCATGTCATTCGTGAGTGAGATTGTGGGATTGAGGGTGCCTGAGAGTGTTTGAGTGAAAGGGAGTGGGAGTGTAGGTGAGTGAGTGTGTGAATGTGCGGGTGGTGGTGGATGAAGATCCGTATTTGGGGCTGCTGAGAGCGAATCACTGCAGCATGGTGCAAGTCAAACAGCCCTACTCCTTCCGCAGCATGGCATGTGCAAGTGTGTGAGAGAGTGAATGAGCCAGAGAGTATGAGAGTGAGTGAGAATGAGTGTGAGAGCGAGAGTGTGACGAAGGCTTGTGGGAGTGGCATCTGGGAGGGCAAGGGTGGTGGTGGACGAGGACCCTTACCAAACCCCTCCTCCTCCCTCGTCCCCTCCCCACCAAACCCCCCCTCCCTGCATGCACCATTCCCCCCCTCCCAGGCGTTCCAGAAGGGATCCCAGCTGCGCAGAGACATCTCAGCGGCGATTCTCCACCTGACCATGACAGGCGAGCTGGACCAGCTGCAGCAGGACTACCTGCTGGGAGGCACCAGGCTATGTCCCGACACACTCATGCCCGAGGCACCCGCGGTGCTGGCCAATGAGAACTTCTGGGGGCTGTTTGTGGGGTATGCCGTGGTGTCCCTCGCGTGCTGCCTGCTGTATGTCGGACTGCTGGTGTTCCGCGGCGCCATGGTTGCGAGGTGAGCAAGGGGTGGGGGTAAGGGTTGGGGATGGGGATTGGAGTGGGAGGGAGTGGGAGTGGTGTCGGTCGCGTGCTGTCTGCTCTATGTGGACCTGCTGGTGTTCCGCGGTGCCATGGTGGCTAAGTGAGCAAGGGGTGGGGTTGGGGTTGGGGTCGGGGATGGCGGTGGAGGTGGAGGTGCGAGTGCGGATGGGGATGGGGGTGGGAAACTGATGTCCTTGCATGCCCCTCTGGGTGATTCAGACTTGTTTTCCGCACTCTGCTTTGGCCCCTCTGTGTCCTGTTGTAGGGAGCTGTCACGTCAACAAGCCAATTTTAGTTGTTAGGCAGCTCAAATTGCTCTCACACTCTGCTTCAAACCCTCTGTGTGCTGCTTTCCCCCCTCTGTGTGCTGTTGTAGGGAGCTGTCACGGCAGCAAGCCAAGTCATACAACACCGACATGGTGGAATTCGTTCCAGCAAATCAGCCAGCGAATCAGCCTGCGGATCAGCCTGAAAATCAGCCTGCACACGTGGCGCTTGCTCCTGCTTCGTCCTTCAAGCTTGACTCGCTAGATCTTATAGAGGAGCTTGGAGATGAAGAGGAGGATGAGGATCAAGATGAAGATGAAGACGACGATGGGGATAACTTATACTCTGCCCATCTGAAGGGTGACCATGCTGATGACGGAAATGGTGGGGGTGGTGGGAAGGGGGTAAAACTCGTGATGCCGGCAACACCCAAGGGGCGTGCTCGGGCAGAGGGTGTTGAAGCAGGGGTTGACGGCGCAGCAGCAGCAGCAGCGATAGCGATGGGATCAGCAGCAGCAACAGCACTGTCACCAGTATCACCATTAACACGGGGAGCATCGGCAATTGCAGCAGCATCACCAATATCCCCAGAATCAGCGGCAGAAGAGGCAGAAGCAACACCAGCATCACCAATAGCACATGCAACAACAGTACCATCTGCTGCTGCTGCTGAGCAGGGTGCAGCACAGGGGCAGGCCAGCAGGTCCGATGTCAAAGAGGCAGCGGGCTTTGAGAAGTCTAAGAAAGCGCAGCGGCAGTCAAGCAGGCCCGGAATGAAGGTGGCAGCGAGCTTCGTAGCAGTGGCTTCCCTGCATAAGCGAGTCGGCAACCTCGTCGACCGCTTTCAAAAGGTACCTCCCTCACCCTCTACCCCAATAGTTTCTGTTTGTTCTCATTCAATTTGAACACCTCAGCAGCACACTCGGTCAGTTGGTGGCGGCGTAGACCAACCGACCTTTGTTGCAGTGATCTCTCTGCGTAAGCGAGTGGGCAACGCCGTCGATCGCTTCCAGAATGTGCCTCTTTCACTCCCTTCATCGTTGGGTTTGTTTTTTTTCTGTGTGCTTTCTTTTTTTTTACGCCCCAAGCAGATTCTCAACGCCCACAAAAGCCCCCAACCTCTTCACTTGCAGCATCCCTCCTGTCCTTCCTGTCCTTCTTTGAGTGGAGCAAGGAACACCATGCAAGCTCTGCTGCCTCTGCTCTCACCTCCTCTTCCTTAAGTCGACCCAAGAATCGCTCCCTGTCGACTCAAATCCTGAGATCCCCTGTTCAACCCCACCACCTCCCCCCACAGGGTCAAGAGTGGAGCAAGGAGCGCCACGCACGTGCATCTGCCCCTGCTATCACCGCCTCTGCCTCTGGAATCACCGCGTCTGCCTCCGCCACCTCTCTCTCTGACATGGCCTCTGAAGACCAGCCAGCAGCAGATGGCATTGCCATTGGCGGCAGCAGTTTTGGAAGCACTACTCCCCACGCACTCCCTCATGTCCCGATAGGCCGCCGTGCAGGGAAAAAATTGAGAGAAGCTAGGTTAACAGGTAGTATGACAGCTGGTACCCCCAGAGCTGGAGACAGGCCTGGGGCCAGGCTGGTGGTCAGGTCCGGATCTGTACCTGACTTGGGTCCTCAAGCAGGGCCAGGAGCAGCACCGGCAGCGTCATCTTCTAATAAGCTGGTTTCTGTGTTGAGATCGAGCAAGCAGGTGCAGAAGCAAGGGCAGGTGATTAAAGTGCTGCCGTCTCGGCAATTGCCAGCTCCAGGTCAATTCAGTGGGCGGAATTTTGTTGACATTGATGCCGACGACGACGACGACGACGACAACGTTGACTTTGGTATATATGAGGACGGTGATTCTGGAGATGACAGTTCCTTGCCGCAGCTGAAGTGAGCATCGGTTCCTTCGCTTATCAGCAAAGATGTTCTGGTCCAGAGCTGCTGAGTTTGATTGAGGTGAGATAACAGGAAAAAAGAAAAAAGAAAAAAAAGATACGGTATTGAGATGAATTCAATATCCAGCCTTTCTGTTTCTTTCTTGGAACATTCGGATAAGTTCATGCACGTGTGTTTGTGTCCCTTTTCCTTCCCTTTCTTTTTCCCTGCAGCAGGGCTTCAGATTCGTTTTGGGCCACCCTTAGTAATCAGGGTTCTAGGTATAGTCAACCCTGATGTGTGGGGTAAAAATTTTGTTTCCCTGACAAAAGCAGGGTAAAAACAAAGTTAGTCTGTTGGGCCAGGGAATTTTGGTTTTAAAATTGGAATATATAACATATTGTGCGTACGCATCAGCACTTAGTGGCTCAGTTTGTCCGATATCGAATGGGATCCGAAAGACCGCAAGTTCGAGTCTAGCTATTAGCAGCATTTTGCAGGGGCAAGATAGTGTTTCGTCACGCTTCGGAGCTTTCCGTAACAGTGTGGCTCAGATCGTATAGTGTACAGTCAGGGAAATGAATTACTTACGCTGTTTTTCAAAGGGTGAAAAAAAACTTACACTTTCTGGCCTAAGGGTAAAAAATCAATTACCCTGCCTGTGAAAGGGTAACTGAAAAAAAGCGGCCGCCAGTCAGTGCAAAAAGGGTATTTTACCCTGATAACGAGAGCCCTGCCCTGCAGGTGTGGTTTCTTCATGTACTGCAGGTTTAGAGCAAATGTTGCCACACCGTTCGTACATGTAATTGTTTAGGGTACACCTTATTCTCGATAATTTCACACCCTTAAGCACACACCCTGGGGTAAATACTCTCGGTTAAACGTTTAAGTAGGGTAGCAAGCAACGATTGTAGACTATCGGAGGAAGGGGTCTTGCAACCTTCTCGCGAATGGAAGAAAAGAACCCGGAGTTCCAAGGGCAGCCATCCACCCCTATTACTCACTCGGAAAATTAAGTGCTAGACTCGATAACTACCCTCGTCTTTCTTTGGGTGTCCGTCACATCGAGCCAGAAAACGTACAGGGTACCTTCTAAATAGGGGGTAGGGGGGTGTGCAATTATCGAGAATAGGGTGTAATGACACCAGTCTGATGTGAGTGTGCCATCAGTCGCTTTGTGGTTGCAGTGTTGGCTTGGCTAATTGCTGGTCCAGCGCCTGCTGTTATTCCCTCCCCCTCCGCCTGTTGCCTTCCGTTCAGTTGTCGCTTTCCTCTTCTTGGTGATGCAATGGAAGGCAAACAGGGCTGATGTTTCATTTTAAGCCTCCCTGATTCCGGGGAAAATTTCATCCCTGTATTATGGGTGCATATTTTCCACAGGTAGGCTACTCTGATTGCTCAGTGTTGAAAAGTATTTAACTCTGATTGCTCAGGGTCGAGAATTGAACATCAATGTCGTAACGCGCACTGTGTTTAACGGGTACACTTGTTTCACCCCGCAGGATTCCAACACAACGCGACATCATTTCGTGCACACCTTGTGCGCGTTACTTCTTGACCCTTTACTTTTGTGAAATTAGTACTTCACACGTTTTAGCGCGGGGAAGAAACGAGCAGTTTCGGTCCACCAAACAGTTCGGTACCGTAGATGTGCCAAGATTTCTTATTCACTGATTACCCGCGATTCGCCAACTTCATTGTGCGAAACGCAAAAAAAATGTTGGTAACTTCACGCACACGCAATCGTGACAATATAACTCACATCTTCGAATTCTGTGAAACTAACGTAAGTAGAGTGTATTTACCTGTCAGACATGTTGCCGCGCGCTGCTCACGCTCTGGCTGTACTACGACGAATCCGACGGCGGGGTTATCTGAAGGAAAATTTTGAGAAACTTCCTTCCGAAGGGGTCAAATTCAGAGTCCACAGAACGCGTACTCTACATTGACAGAGTCATTAAGAACACTACTCTGAGCCTAGATACAATATTTCAGGGTTCGCTAAAGCACTATGCTGAATGGATCAGTGTTCACATGTCGGAATTCTGAAATTGCAGGGACCACCATGTGAGAAGCCTGTAATCATCCTGAAATCAGGGTAATTACCGTGATAAAATCAGCCCTGAAGGCAACAGGTGGTTTTTCTGAAAGGACAATGGACATGGGAATGCCGCGAGTCGTGCGTGATGGAAAGATCAATCAATGTACTTCGCGAAAGCCAGCAAGGAGGAGAAAGTTCTCGAGATAGTTCTCGCGAAAGTTCTCGCGAAAGCCAGCAAGGACAACGACTTCAGCGAAATGCCACGCAGGAATCCTGATCTGTGCTAGGATCCCTTTCCAACAGGTGGTGGCACTGTCGCGGTAGTGATGTCCAGTGCACCTAAGAGGTGCGGTAGGGTTACATGGAGTGCTTGATCATAAGGCCGTGGTTCTGTCATTGCAGTTGGTCTGTGGCAACCTGTGGGACAATCCCCATACACCCTAATGCTCACTCAACTGTCCACTCTGAACATGCCCACTGCCACTCCATACGCCCAGTGGTCGACATTCACGGCCAACGGCCCGCGCGTTACTAGCCCACGACAAAACCAATATGTTCGAGTTTCCCAGACAAAACACGCTGGGCTACCCACAATTTCCGCAACTGTAGTTTTTTTTGTCAACCTTTGTTCTACATTCAGTCCCATTCTGCCCCTGGTGAACGCATGTTCGAGAGAGGAGCACAGGGAAAGATGGGGAAGGGGACTGAAATGGGCATCATGTGTACACAAGTGTGTCACGTCAACGTGGGGTGCGGAGCTGCACGCACAAAAACAAAATTACAGTAGTTTCTGTAGGTGTACTGTCGTACATACTGTAGTTGACCGCCCTGAGGTCCTTCAGATTCTTCACGAATAACTACATGGGTCGGTTACACAGTCTACTGCTCTGCGAATCTCGCACAGAGCACTGCTTTGTCGTTCTAAGTTCAGAATTGACACGACAAAGGTGGTGTGGGTTTCTTCCTTCCGAGTACAAACTGATGCCTGATTGAGCCCCTCCCGGTTGCCTTGTGAATGGGGCGTATAAGCTGTATCGTGCAGTTCGCATAAGTTTCGTCAATTTGCAGCTAGCTAAAAAGGATTCGCAGGTGCTTATATAAAGGATCTGTAACCTATCCGTTGACATTTTGACTTCAGTCTCTTCATTTTGACTTCGGTCTGTTCGTTACAATAGATTTATAACCACGCGACGCGCTTGTACCGTGGGTGCAACAGGCTGGGGAAAAAACCTCGGGTGCAGCGTTTCCATCCGTTACGGAGCAAATTCGCGTGCATGGGGTGGGCATCATGTGTACAATACAGGAGAGAAACAGAACGATGTTAAAATGTGACACGACGACATGGGTCACCGAATGTAGACGAAAGAGCATCTAACGAAGTAAGTGTCGGTGCAGCAACACAACCAAATGAGGTATGCCAGACGAATTTAGGACCATCCGTCAATATCGGCCTTCACCATTCATCCGTCCATCTTGCTCCGTGACTGCGTTTCTGTCAAGTCTCCGCCACACTGCTACAAACTACTGCGGTCCTCTCTGCCAAAGTTGTCTAGTCGAAACAAAGATTCAGATAACAGAAGCTGGAACGAGACCTTTATCTGGCTTTATTGCCAAGGTTCCGTAAGCGGGACACCGGCGTCGTCGTCGCTCTCCTATGTCCGTCCGCCTCTGCGATTCTCTCTTCTAAGCTGGACCTCCGTTGTCCGATCGTCGTCGTTGTCTTCAACTTTTGTCACGACAAGTTGTCGTCGTCGTCATCGCCGTCGCCGTCCGCTCTTCCCCCTCTCTCATGTCCGCACGTCGCCATTGTGTGCCATCCACCCATACCCCACCGAACAATGAGGAGTCCCGCCGGCGGCTGACTCATAGAAGCGATTTCACCCACTATAGACCTCGCCCGCGGCCCCGCCATGGTGATCATCCGCATAATATAGAGCCTGCTTATGCTATACCTCGGCCGGAGCCGTGCAGACCGCCCGGGGAGACACGCCTGGCGGCCTCCTACTCCCCGCGCCACGTGGCAGAAAATCTGCAACTTCCGGCTTTCGAAGCGCGTAAAGCAAAACCTTTCGCGCCGCGTCCCCGCTTGCCCTTCCATCCCCGTCTCTTTCGGCCGCAAATCACGCTGCTTCTCGCGGTTTTACTTTTACCCCCGCTATTATCACGGTCGGATTCGTCAAGCACCCCTGCGGGGGACTCTGACCACCGCTATTATCACGTACCCGGCGGATCCGCGCCCCCCTTATCCTCCGCCCTCCGCGACTCTCCGCAAGGTTCCGCGGATCATGGCGCGCCGCTGCGCGCCGGTAGTGTCAGGAGAAGTACTAGTGGTGGATCCGCACTCGCCGCGGCGACCAGCGGTGTGCGCGCGGCGGTAATACCGCGCGCCGTCTCGATTCCGCGCGCCGACACGATTCCGCAAAAGCGTATTCCGAGAGACCAGGCGCAGGCCTCACGAGACCTTATGCTTCTAGAGTTCGGACCGCGAGAATCGGAACCGCGAATAGAGACGACAAGACTCCTTTCTTGGAAAGCCGCCAGCGCAAGTGGCGGCGGGCCCAACAGTGTAGTCGGAAGTACGGGTGCGGAGCACGGCGGGGAGCGCGGCGCGACTCGCGGCGAGATTCGCGGGGTGCAGGAAGAGGGGGTGGATGGGAGGGAGGAGGTGACGTTGGGCTGTCTGATTCCCACCTACTCGCAAGACGGATTGAACATGCTGGCAGGTGATTAGGGTGGTGATGGTGGTGATGGTGATGGTGATGGTGGTGATGGTGATGGTGATGGTGATTGCACACAACCCCTCCCCACCACTCCCTACCCCTCCCTCCCTCTCCTCTCCCCGTCCCATCAACCTTCGTCGCTGCCTTCTCCCACCCTGCCTGCCCCTCCCGCATGCGCCCATCTCCCTCCCCCGTGTCCCCCATCCTTTCCGCCTGTCCTCCATCCCCCTCCACTCAACCCCCATCCCCTCCCGCGTGCCCCCCATCCCGTGACTTCTCCCCCGTTCCCTCACGTGCCCTTTTTCCCCTCCCACTCGCCCTCCCGCTCCGCCTGTCCAGCAATCATTGGGACTTTTGGGTCGACTCAAAAGTCATCCCCTCTCTTGCAACCCGTCCCCTCACGTGCCCCTTATCCCCTCCCACTCGCCCTCCCATTCCGCCTATCCAGCAATCACCATGGCAGTTGCTGACGTCAACAGCGACCCCACCATCCTGCCACGTCAGCGCATCCGCCTGATCACCGGCAACATCAGCGCCAGCACGCCATCCATGCTCAGCCAGCTGGCAGGTGGGCCGCAAGTGCTGACGTGGCAGCAGCCTGTATCTTCCAACGGAAGAATCAACTCGCAGCCAGCCCTAGCCAATCCCTCTCCTCCCTTGTACTTGTTCCAACTCGCGTTTCTCCACCGTTTTCTCTCCTCACCACTCCTTTTGCTCTTGCACCGCCTTTGAAGCCACATCGACTGCCACTTCTGCCACATCGGCTGCCACTTCTGCCACATCACCCACATCACCCACATCAGCCACATCAGCCACATCACCCACATCAGATCCACCATATTATCCGTCATCACTCTTACCACTCTCCTATGTTTCCCCCCCTCCTCTCCCTCCCGTTCCTCTCCCTCTGCCCCTGCAGCCATGGCAACAGTGCAGCAGCGCCCAGTTGCGATCATAGGCCCGGGGACGTCAGACCAAGCAGCTCTCATCAGCCCGCTTGCCACTGCCACTCAGGTACGCAAACTAGCAAGACACTAGTCAGGCGCCTCAAAAGTGAATAGAGAAGGTTTTTTACTTCTGAGACGACTCAAAAGTCACCTCAGTGCAGCAGCGGAGCGGCCAGTGGCATGGCAATCATAGGCCCAGGGACGTCCGGCCAAGCAGCTCTCATTAGCCCGCTTGCCACTGCCACTCAGGTACGTACACAAGCTAGGCAATTTCTTTTGTTTTTGAGATGGCGCCTCATGCAAATTGAGAGTTTTTTTCGACGCTCCTGGAAAATCATCAGCTTCACCACACCAACCTAGCTCAGTCTGATTCTATCGCCTCATCCTATACACCTCATCCCATCCTTTCACCATCACTTTATCACCACACCGTGCTTTCACCCGTCCATCTTAAATGTAGCCTTCATTAGACCTTGTGTCTGCAGTAGCAACAGATGTGCAACTTACAGTGGAGGGTGCTCAGCCGTACGTCACCCGGTCGCCTTAAAACACCCCATGCTTGCTCCCACTGGTGACTCCCCACCCCCCAGACTCCCTTGGTGTCTGCAGCAGCAACAGACGTGCAGCTGACGGTGGGGGGTGCTCGGCCATTCTTCATGCGGACCATCCCCAACGATGGCGTCGACATGCAAGCTATAGCTGGTAAGACAGCCATAGCCGGTAAGACAAAGGCGAGGCATGCAGGTACGGTGGTGTGCAATTAGGTACAGTGGGGGATGCTTGCTCGGCCATTCTTCATGCGGACCATTCCCAACGATGGCGTCGACATGCAAGCCGTAGCCGGTAAGATCTGGTGATCCCCGTGCTGATCCCCGTGCTGATCCCCGTGCTGATCCCCGTGCTGCGTAGATGAGGTGGTGTATGCAGATGAGGTGGTGTATGCAGATGTGCTGGCGGTGACCTCTCCTGTTTTCTCTCCCCTGTTTTCTCTCCCCTGTTTTCTCTCCCCTGTTTTCTCTCCCCTGTTTTCTCTCTCCTGTTTTCTCTCTCCTGTTTTCTCTCTCCTGTTTTCTCTCTCCTGTTTTCTCTCCCCTGTTTTCTCTCTCCTGTTTTCTCTCTCCTGTTTTCTCTCTCCTGTTTTCTCTCTCCTGTTTTCTCTCTCCTGTTTTCTCTCTCCTGTTTTCTCTCTCCTGCTTCATGGTGGCAGCGCTGCTGCTGCGCTACAAGTGGAGGCAGTTCGTGGCAGTCTACACGGACAACCGCTTTGGCCGCAACGGCATCACCGCACTCATGACCTACCTCCTCGAAACAAAGGTGCTCACTCACACACCAGCACGCTCACTTGCACAGTCGCTTGATCACCATCCACTCACACTCACACTCATTCACACTTGATCGCAGTTGCTCCCCTCCCCCTACCCGTTCACCCCCCAGCCACCGTTCACCCTCCAGCCACCCTATCATTTCCCTACCTCCTACTCATACACCTGAAAGGTGTCGGATGTACACATCGCTCAGAGGCTGCCTGGGGTACAAGAGGCCTTATTCGTCCCCTTTCCTCCCGTATTCCTTCCCATTCCTCCTCCCACTATCCATACCCCTACCGCCACCCATGCACCTGAAAGGCGTCGTATGTGCACATTGCCCAGAGGGTGCCTGTCAAGTCCACGTGGACAGCTGATGACGTGGCACAGGCCCTCGCTGCCAGCAAGGCAGTGGACTCTTCGGTTTATGTGCTACACGCCTCCTCTATCATGTCTGCTCTCATACTCGATACAGGTACACTCGATACTTGTAGAACATTGTGGGTAACATTTTGGAAGGGCCAACCTGTATCAGAACAACAAATCCGAGTTCCCTTCCCTCTTGTAGCATATGGTCAGGATAACGGACCTAATATATGTGACTGCTTCAATCAACCCCACCGTTGCCTCTATCGCAGCAAGCAAGCTGGGCATGATAGCGAAAAAAACTACGTGTTGAAAAAAGTGGGAGCCAATTCAGATTCCGCCTGCATATCTTTGCCTCTTTCACCTTTCCCACTATCGCAGCGAGCAAGCTGGGCATGATAGGGAAGAACTACGTGTGGATCGCATCAGAGGGGGCTGCTCAAGCCAACACCTCCACACTGCAGAGTGCAGAGGTGGGTGATGAAGGTGCATCATGGTGCATGAGGGTGCACGAGGGTGCATGAGGGTGCATGAGGGTGCATTAGGAGAGTACACATACGCCTTTGAGATGTCCCACAACTCGATTCCTCGTCTCTTCTCTCCTCTCCTCCCCTCTTCTCCTCCTCTCTTCTCATCCCCCCCTCCTGCTACCTCACTTCTCCTTCCTGCCACTCCTCCCTCCCAACCCCCATTGCTCAGGGTCTGATAATCACAGCATCCTATCACCCGCCATCGCAGCGCCTGTCGGCCTTCAAGCAGCGGTGGAAGCAGCTGAGTCCACAGCAGTTCCCAGGGGCAGCTGAAGAGGACCCTAAGACCTACAGCCTTGCAGCCTACGATGCTGCCTACCTCATCTCCCTCGCCCTGCACTCCCTGCTGCAACACAACAGAACCACCGCCAGCAGTAACACCAGCAGCGGCAGCACCAGCGGCAGCACCAGTGGCAGCACGAGCAGCAACGGCAGTAGCAGCAGCACGGGAGCACACTTTGTTGCAATGTCTGCTGTCGCGAGTACCAACGCCTTGATACTGCCGGTGGCAGGGCAAGGGGCCGAAGCGGGTGGTGGGCTCATTCCGCTGCTGCAGAACCTGCAGCGAAACTCAGGTGGGTGCTTACTTGTGAGGCACAATGCACAGGTGATGCAACTTAGATAGGTTGGGGCAGTCCGTTGTGCGTCTGATTGTATTCCATCTATTGTTCCCTTCTCTATTACCTCCCTCCCTCCCCTGCACCCTCTGTCCTTCACTCTTCTCGTGGTTCTTTCACTCTTTTCCTCGTCCCTCCCACCTATCTTCCCTAAGACGCCTCAATCTCTTTCTTTTCTCATGTGGGTTCTTGTTTCTTTGTTGTTTACCCTTTTTTCTGTCCTCCGTCGCTTGTTCCCGCTCGGAATCCTTCCTTCCCTCTCCCATGCAGTGGGCCCGGCACTCCGTCAAGCCATCCTCAACACAACCTTCGAAGGCCTCACAGGAAGGTAAGATGCTGAAGGCCTTACCAGGGACGTACAAGCACGCATGAGCAACAGGACCACGTGAGTGACTTTTGAGTCGACTCAAAAGTCAACTCAAAAGTCGACTCAAAAGTCAAAAGTCACCTTTTGAGTCGACTCAAAAACTTACCAGGGACGTACAAGCACGCATGAGCAACAGGACCACCTGACCCGACACAACTAGGTTTTCGAGACGTCTCAAACGAAGTTGTGGAACGTCTCACAGCAACGGGACCACCTGACCCAACCCAACTCGAGTTCTGAGACGTCTCAAAGCAAAGTTTGTGGCCGGAAAGCGAGCTTTGCTTGAATTCCACCCTCCCACTTCCCCTCGACCCTCTTTCTTGCTCTATCTCCCCTCGTCTCTCCCCAGGGTCTCCCTCAACCCACACGGTGATCTGCAAGCCGATGCCATCGAGGTGCTCAACGTGGTGAACGCTACGGCCACGAGGGTTGGCTTCTGGACTCCCGCCTGGCAGCTCACGCGCTCTTTAAAGGTGTGCTGCAGTGCGGTGCGGTGTAATGTGGTGCGGTGTGGTGTGGTATGATCTGGTGTGCTGTGATGTCACGGAGGTGCTCAGCTCAATGTGGTGAACGCTACGGCCACGAGGGTTGGCTTCTGGACGCCTGCCTGGCAGCTCACGCGCTCTCTAAAGGTGCAATGTGGTGTGATGTACTGCAATGAGGTGTGGCGTGATGAGGTGTGGTGTGATGTGGTATTGTGTGGTGTGCTCAACCATGCCGTGCCATGCTCAACCATGCCGTGCCATGCTCAACCATGCCGTGCCATGCTCAACCATGCCGTGCCATGCTCAACCATGCCGTGCCATGCTCAACCATACCGTGCCATGCTCAACCATGCCGTGCCATGCTCAACCATGCCGTGCCATGCTCAACCATGCCGTGCCATGCTCAACCATGCCGTACCATACTCAACCATGCCGTGCCATGCTCAACCATGCCGTGCCATGCTCAACCATACCGTGCCATGCTCAACCATGCCGTGCCATGCTCAACCATGCCGTATCCAAATCAGCCATTCCTTCTTCTGCTATTCGAGTATGTTTTTGAGTCGACTCAAAAACAGACTCATCATGCCCGTGCCATGCTCAGTCATGCTGTGCCGAGCTCAACCATGCCGTGTCCAAATCAGCCATTCCTTCTTCTGCTATTCGAGTCTAACCATCCGTCTTGCCTCTCCTCCTTTACTCCCCTTCTCCACTCTCCTCCTCTGCCCTCCTGCTCTCCTGCTCTCCTTTCCTTCCCTGTTTCAGCGGCCATCCAAGAACCAGCAAGAGGCACTCAACATAGTGTTTCCGGGTGGGGTGACACAAGTGAGTCTGAGTCAACTGCATGTACTAGTCAATGTAATCATGCATGTCCGTTTAGACGTGATTGATACATGCTCATTCACAGTCGACACAAGCTCAATCAGAAGACATGCTTCATGTCTCCATCGCCTTATTCCTTCTCTTGCTGCGCCTCCCCCCTAATGGCCATGCTTACAGGTGCCCATAGGCGCATTTCCCAAGACAAAACTTCGATTAGCTGTTCCAAATAAAGTGGTGCGTATTCTCTGTGTGCGTGTGTGCGCACGCGTGCGAGTGCGGGTGCGTGTGTGTGCGTGTATGGCGTATATGTGTGTACGTGTGTATGTGGATATATGCATGCGCCATTGCCATGCATGAGAGCCCACACCGCACTCCTTCTCCTCAGGTCTACAAGCAGTTTGTCAACATCTCCAAGGGAGAGTTTTGAGACGTATCAAAAGTCAACATCTCCAAGGGAGAGTTTTGAGACGTATCAAAAGTCAACATCTCCAAGGGAGAGTTTTGAGACGTATCAAAAGTCAACATCTCCAAGGGAGAGAGCCACGGCCGCTTCTCAGGCTTCTGCATCGATGCATTCCGAGCAGCTGTGGCCATGCTGCAATGCCCCTTCCACTTCCCTCTCGTTCCCCTCCTCCCTCCCCACCCTTCCCCCCCTCTCAGGTCTACAAGCAGTTTGTCAACATCTCCAAGGGAGAGGACAAAGAGCGCTTCTCAGGGTTCTGCATCGACGTTTTCCACGCAGCTGTGGCCATGCTGCCGTACCCGCTCGACTACGAGTTTGTGCAGTATGGCGAGGAGAACGTCTCCCCCAGCTACAACCAGATGGTGCTGGCTGTGGCGGACAAGGTGGGTGCCGGCTGTAGCAGGCAAGGTGGGTGCTGGCTGTAGCAGCAGCTGTGGCCATGCTGCCATACTCTGTCCTGTCAACTATGATTTGTGCAGTATGGGGAGGAGAAAGTCTCCCCCAGCTACAACCAGATGGTGCTGGCTGTAGCAGATAAGGTGGGTGCAGGCTAGTGCTGGCTGTAGCAGATAAGGTGGGTGCAGGCTAGTGCTGGCTGTAGCAGATAAGGTGGGTGCAGGCTAGTGCTGGCTGTAGCAGCAGCTGTGGCCATGCTGCCATACTCTGTCCTGTCAACTATGATTTGTGCAGTATGGGGAGGAGAAAGTCTCCCCCAGCTACAACCAGATGGTGCTGGCTGTAGCAGATAAGGTGGGTGCAGGCTAGTGCTGGCTGTAGCAGCAGCTGTGGCCATGCTGCCATACCCGCTCGAGTACGAGTTTGTGCAGTACGGCAAGGATAACGTCTCCCCCAGCTACACCCAGATGGTGCTGGCTGTGGCAGACAAGGTGGGAGCTGGTTGTAGCCAGATGAATCAGACAAGCACAATGCGTAGCGCTGCTGTAGCATGTCCAGGCCCCTAACCTTGATGAGCAGTATAGGACAGGGGCAGGCAGCCAAGATAAGACGGTTTTTGCGGCGCCTAAAAAATTGTCTCAGTTTTTAGGCGCCTCAAAAACCTACGCTCGACGAACAGTATGGGACAGGGGCAGGCAGCCAACTTGCTGCCCACGTTCCGTGTTTTCATTAATCTTTTATTCTTCTTCTGATTTTTTCTTTCCCGCTTGAATGCTACCCTCCGCATTGTCTTTCTCTTGCAGAAATACGACGGGGCCATCGGAGACATCACAGTCACAGAGACACGCAACAGAGCAGTGTTCTTCACATACCCCATCTTTGTAAGCCGTCTTTCCTTCCCTTCTCCCATTTAATCACTCTCCTTTTCACACTCGTGTTTATAAGTAAGTCTTTTCTTCGCAAAGGTTTTTTAAGTTTAGGGTTTGTACCACAGCTTCTTCGTGTGGATCACCCTCCTCCTTCCGACCCAATCCCCAGCCATCAGGTCTGGGGATAATGGGGTACGCAAAGGAGAATTCAAGTCCCTGGCTGGCGTTCCAGCCGTTCACAGCGAGCATGTGGGGAGTGACTATGGCGCTGTGCGTGCTAGCAGGGCTCATCACCTCGTTCCTGGACGAGCAGTCTAATGAGGCCTTCCGAGAGAAACTGCATCAGCGCCTGCAGAACGCCGCGTGGTACGTGCACCTGTAACGATTACTTTCCGTTTTGAGACATTACGGGTCACACTCGCACTGTGTGTTGGCGGGAAGGGAATCATCACCTCGTTCCTGGAGCAAACGAGGCCTTTAGAGGGAAACTCCACCAGCGCCTGCAGAACGCTATGCGGTACGTGCCGTGCCTGTGCAGTCTATGATGCGGTCGTGCTTGAGGTGTATTTTGAGGCGCCTCAGAATGCAGTCTATGATGCGGTCGTGCTTGAGAATGCTAAAAAGTGGCGCTGTGTGTGTGTGCTGGTGGGGCTTGGCTCATCACCTCTTTCGATCTCTGTGTGTCTCTGTGCGTCTCTGTGTCTCTCTGTGCGTCTCTACCCCACCACCTGCAGGTTCGGCCTGCAAACGCTCTACGCCATCCTGGGTGAGTGTCTCTCTTCCCTACGCGATCTTCAGACATAATTCTCAGGGAGCAGCAGTAGGGAAGCTAGGCTTAACCTGCAGGTTCGGCCTGCAAACGCTCTACGCCATCCTGGGTCAGTGTCTCTCTTCCCCATCCACATCTCCTCGTTGTTCCTTCCAGAGTTATTTGGTGGTGCTTGGAAGTTTCTTTTGCCTGCAAACCTTACAGTATACTCCTTCCATCATGGTAGTGTGGCTTCTCCTTCCATCATGGTAGTGTGGCTTCTCCTTCCATCATGGTAGTGTGGCTTCTCCTTCCATCATGGTAGTGTGGCTTCTCCTTCCATCATGGTAGTGTGGCTTCTCCTTCCATCATGGTAGTGTGGCTTCTCCTTCCATCATGGTAGTGTGGCTTCTCCTTCCATCATGGTAGTGTGGCTTCTCCTTCCATCATGGTAGTGTGGCTTCTCCTTCCATCATGGTAGTGTGGCTTCTCCTTCCATCATGGTAGTGTGGCTTCTCCTTCCATCATGGTAGTGTGGCTTCTCCTTCCATCATGGTAGTGTGGCTTCTCCTTCCATCATGGTAGTGTGGCTTCTCCTTCCATCATGGTAGTGTGGCTTCTCCTTCCATCATGGTAGTGTGGCTTCTCCTTCCATCATGGTAGTGTGGCTTCTCCTTCCATCATGGTAGTGTGGCTTCTCCTTCCATCATGGTAGTGTGGCTTCTCCTTCCATCATGGTAGTGTGGCTTCTCCTTCCATCATGGTAGTGTGGCTTCTCCTTCCATCATGGTAGTGTGGCTTCTCCTTCCATCATGGTAGTGTGGCTTCTCCTTCCATCATGGTAGTGTGGCTTCTCCTTCCATCATGGTAGTGTGGCTTCTCCTTCCATCATGGTAGTGTGGCTTCTCCTTCCATCATGGTAGTGTGGCTTCTCCTTCCATCATGGTAGTGTGGCTTCTCCTTCCATCATGGTAGTGTGGCTTCTCCTTCCATCATGGTAGTGTGGCTTCTCCTTCCATCATGGTAGTGTGGCTTCTCCTTCCATCATGGTAGTGTGGCTTCTCCTTCCATCATGGTAGTGTGGCTTCTCCTTCCATCATGGTAGTGTGGCTTCTCCTTCCATCATGGTAGTGTGGCTTCTCCTTCCATCATGGTAGTGTGGCTTCTCCTTCCATCATGGTAGTGTGGCTTCTCCTTCCATCATGGTAGTGTGGCTTCTCCTTCCATCATGGTAGTGTGGCTTCTCCTTCCATCATGGTAGTGTGGCTTCTCCTTCCATCATGGTAGTGTGGCTTCTCCTTCCATCATGGTAGTGTGGCTTCTCCTTCCATCATGGTAGTGTGGCTTCTCCTTCCATCATGGTAGTGTGGCTTCTCCTTCCATCATGGTAGTGTGGCTTCTCCTTCCATCATGGTAGTGTGGCTTCTCCTTCCATCATGGTAGTGTGGCTTCTCCTTCCATCATGGTAGTGTGGCTTCTCCTTCCATCATGGTAGTGTGGCTTCTCCTTCCATCATGGTAGTGTGGCTTCTCCTTCCATCATGGTAGTGTGGCTTCTCCTTCTTGACCTGCCCGGCCCAGCTCTCCGCACTTGGAACAGCGTGACTTGGTTAACCCGCAACCAGCTTAGGGACGCTCAGAAGCAGCTTGTCTTTATGTGTCCCATCCCAGTCCTCACCATTCCATCGACTCGGTGGTTCTGATGACCAAGCGAATGGCTTTCTTGCTCTCATATCTCTCGCTCCACTGCCATCGGTATTGTTGTCACGGCACGTGTTTCGAGTCGACTCAAAACACATTTGTCACGGCAGAGAGCACCCCATTTGGAAGCCACTTTTGAGAATTCTCAAAATATCTCTCTCGATCCACTGCCACTGCCCCCACTCGTGATTGTCACGGCAGAGTACCCTGTTCGCACCTCCCTCGCCCGGCTCTTTGTCATCGTGTTTCTCATCATCGGCTACCTTATAGTCACCATGTACACGGCGAACCTCACGTCTATTGTCACAGTCGACCGGCTCAAACCCTCCGCAATGGTAAGGTCATTTTACATGTTGGATACAGTTTTTACAGGTCTTTTTTTTTTTTTTTTTTTTTTTTTTTTTTTAATTCTGAAAAGCGACCCGGTAAGTTTTGCGCAACCCAACTGTGCGTGCCTAAGTCGGTCCAGCATTTCAATAGTGTGGTTTGGGTGAAACCAACAAGTCTGTTATATATATATACATATATGTATATACATAAATATATGTAGATAATATATACATGTTATAGTTTATATGCAATAACCTTTCTATCTTGCCTTCAGAGAGCCCGGATTGCCTTTCAGTCTCATACGACTCTATTCCTCCACAGTCCACCCGTCGTGTGCTCATGATCCCATGATGTGCTGTTGCATGACGTGCTCATTCCATTATGGGTTTTGAGACCTTTCGAAGCCTGCCTCATCCCATCCCACCGCATCCCACACGGCCCCACCACCAGGACATTGGTTCCGCCGCCTCGACCTCATCCCCCATTGGCTACCAGCTGGGGTCATTCGTCAATGCGTACCTGCAGCAGATGGGCATTCCTGCGGTGGGTAAATTATGTGAATTAAAAGCAGCTATTTCCACTGCTTAGTGCATTAAAAGCAGCTATTTTCACTGCTAGGTGCATTAAAAGCAGCTATTTTCACTGCTAGGTGCATTAAAAGCAGCCATTTTCACTGCTAGGTGCATTAAAAGCAGCTATTTTCGCTGCTTGTTTTCACTTAAAGCAGCTATTTTCACTTCTAGGTGCATTGAAAGAAGCTCTTTCTCTAGGCGCCTTCAAATTAGTCGCTTCTTGTACTTGCTACAGATGGGCATCCCTGTGTTTCCCTCCCTGGAGGAGTTGGTGGGTGGATAGGGAAGGGACCTTTGCTTGCCTAGGGACCATGTGGGTTCAGATGGAAGATTCAACCCTGCCAAACTGACATGATTATGTGGATCGTACTCAACCCCACTGCACCGCACTGCCTCCCACACTACCCAAACCCTGTTCACCGCATCCTTTCTCACCCAACCCAACTCCTGCTTCGCTACAGAACCGTCTGGTGGCACTCAATAACGAGGATGAGTATGCACAGGCGCTGACCTCCGGCCGGGTGGGGGTGATAGTGGATGAGAACCCCTACCTCGAGCTCTTCTCCCTCGACTTCTGTGACGTCGCCCTCGCGCCTCAGCCCTTCTCGCTGCTGAACCTTGCGTTTGTAAGCACTCTTTGCAATGTAAACTCGTTCCAAACCCCGAGTTACCTTCTGCCACCTGGACCTTTGTTCCCTCGACTTGTGCAGCGTTGGTTGTTTTTGCTCCTCAGCCTTGTCGTTTTCAGCACTCTGTGTCACCTTAGGTTACAGAGGGCGCTTGTTCAGTGCTGTGGCGCCTGTGCACTAGGAGGGCTCGCCACTCAATCTCAACCCCTCTCCGCACGCAACTCGTCGCTTCCCCCCAGGCCTTCCCCAAGGGCTCTCAGCTGGGCTTGGATGTATCACAGGCGTTAGTGCAGCTCACAATGTCCGGCGGGCTGCAGCAGCCCTTATTTACACGCATCAACACCCCCCCCGGGCCCCCCTCCCCTCCCGCCACCCAACTCGTTCCTTTACCCCCAGGCCTTCCCCAAGGGCTCTCAGCTGGGCTTGGACGTCTCACAGGCGATAGTGCAGCTGTCAATGTCCGGCAAGCTGCAGCAGCTGCGGGAGAAACACTTCACTGGGATCAACGGCTCTTGCACCCAACCCAGCAGCAGCAGCAGCAACAGCCGCAGCGGTATATCCTCCTCTTCCTCCTCCTCCTCCTCCTCCTCCTCCTCCTCCTCCTCCTCCTCCTCCTCCTCCTCCTCCTCCTCCTCGATTTCCTCGCTGGCGGCAGACTCAGCAGTGCAGCTGTCGATGCAGAAGTTCCTTGGGCTGTATATCATCTTTGGTGCTGTGTCGTTGGGCTGCTGCGTGCTCTACGTGTTGCTCCTCATTCACCGCGGTTACCGCGCCAGCAGGTATGGTCGAGCCAGCAGGTATGGTTGAGTTGAACCAGCAGGTACGGCTGCAGCAAGTATGGCCCAGTCAGCAGGTACGGCAGAGGCAGCAGGTATGGCCGAGGCAGCAGGTACGGCCGAGGCAGCAGGTATCGCTGAAGCAACAGTTATGAGAAAACCTCCCTGGCTTGCACAGCCGTCTTGGTTTCATCCTTCGAGCACACTACTCCATTTTTAACTGTCGTTCAAACCACCCTTCAAGCCACTGCCCTTCAGAGAGGAAATAATCGCCTCTTTTCTAATCAGCTCATTAGTCATTTTGACTCGAACAAGTCACCTTATCTTCCCCCACACCACCCACCTTTTGAACTTTTCTTCTCTCCCCCAACCCAACAGAGAGGCTGCGCGCCTGCAGGACGCTCAGAACCAAGCTGAGATCCAACGGCTCGTGTTTGATCATCATCCGTTGCACACAGGATCTGACGGCCCGGATGGAGCCGATCCCACATGGGCAGTTCCAGGTGGGGGGGTGGCATTGAGAAGGCACGAGTGGGCAGGAGGTGGCAACTGGGGTGGGGAGCATTCGGAACGGGAAGACCTGTTTGTGTTTGGTAGTATTGCTGCCACACTCAGTGGCAGGGGTAGCAGCAGTGGCAGCGGGGGTATTGAGACGGGTCGGAAAGGAATTGGTGGGAGTAGTAGTAGCAGCAGTGACAGAAGAGTGGAAGAGTCTCAGAGTAGCTTTGGCAAAGCGAACAGCAGCAGCGGGTGCAGTGTCCCTTTTGTTGCAGTGGGTCAGCCAAGCTTGACACGGGTTGCTGAGGAGGGAGAAGATGCGGAGGAGGAGGTGGAGGAGGAGGAGAAGGTGGAGGAGGGTGAGGATGAGTTTGGGAGAAAAGCAGTTCTAAGAGGGGTTGAGAAAGGAGGGATGGAGGGAGAGGAGGAGGAGGATGGTGTGGAGAAAGAGATTAGAGGGCTTGAGATACGAGATGTTAAGGAGGAGGAGACACAGGAGGAAGGTGGGGAGGAGGATGGGGAAGAGGATGAGGAGATAAAGGGATTGCTTGGAGAGGCTGTTGTTTATGGTGATGGTGACAGCAGGCCCAGTAGTAGGCATGGTAGCAGGCCCGGAAGCAGGTCTGGTAGTAGGCATGGCAGCAGGCCCGGAAGTAGGTCTGGTAGTATGCATGGTAGCAGGCCCGGAAGTCGGTCCGGGAGCAGGAACGGGAGCAGAAGCGAGAGGGGTGGTAGTGGAGGTAGAATGACCATCGAGCGAACACTCTCTGCTGCTGCGAGGCTCTTGTACGTAAGCACAGATGCTTATAGCGGGTCAGAATCCGAGGGCAACGAGAAGGTGCGCATGCGTCGGTACAAGACTCTCCCGAGACTGTGTGAAAGCAAGGGAACTCCAGAGATGCCTCAACACAGGCAAGGGAGGGAGTTAGCTGTGAGGAGCCGGGGAGGAGAGGAAGGTGAAGGAGAGGGAGCAGAGGGGGTAAGTGCTTGGCTGTGGAAGAGGAGAGAGCGAGGAGTAGGGGCGTTCGAGCAGGGGTTGGAGGGATTGGAGTCCAGGAGGCTGCTGGAAGAGGAGTGGGCAGAGAGATCTGACGTGGAGGCAGAGGGAGGAAGGGAAGACGGATGGAGTGGTGGGGTAAGGGGAGGGGGAGAGGAGAGGAGGGAGGGCAGGGACGAAGGGGTTAGTGCTAGTGGTTGGAGCTGTGCAGTCATTGCTGCTGGCATTGCTGCTGGCACTGCTGCTGGCACTGCTGCTGCTGCTGCTTCCTCTGCCCCCTCTCTCTCCCCCCACGCCTCCTCCAACATCTCCCCACACTCCCCCTCTTACTTCCTTTTCCAATCCCCCGCTCTAACCGCTCGATCGCCTTCCTCTCAGCACCTGACTGCTCCATCGATCCCCAAACCAATATCAGCATCTCAATCCGCTCCTCGCCTCGGTTCAAACTCAGACCGCCTTGTTCGTAGCCGCCTGCCTTCCCCACCCTTCCACCTCATGCCAAACCAGCACAACAGCAGTACACCAGCATCTCAGCGTAACTCCGATGGAGCTTTCCTCTCTTGCCCTCCGGAGAGCATCAGCACGTCTTTTGAGGCGCCTCAAAAGTCTTCCCCACCCTTCCACCGCATGCCAAACCAGCACAACATCACCACATCAGCATCTCAGCACCGAATCATGCCAAACCAAAACTCCGATCGAGCTTTCCTCTCTAGCTCCCCAGAGAGCTTCAGCACGTCAGCACCGAATCATGTGTTGCTGGAACCACAAGGAGGGAACCACTTGAGCACATCGTCCATTGCAACAGCAGTAACGGTTACCGCATCATCCAGCCTTCCGGAAAGGCGAACAGTGGCGTTAAGTCAGCTGCAGCTGGCACATCAGCAACCATCTCCCACCAGGCAACACGCCTCTGCAGCTTCCCAGCAGCCATTACTGGGCGTGCCCGACCGTTTGAGTCTTGACACATCTCAAAACTCACCCACCAGACAAAACATATCCCTGGTTTCCCACCAGCCATTACCTGGCATGTTTGACCGTTTGCCGTCAATCCGTTTGCCGCCCAAGTCACCAAAGCTACCTAGACTGCCGAATCTATCACCCAGGCCATCAGACCTGTCATCCAGACCGCCGAACTCACCCAGCTCACCGAGCCTGTCACCCAGACCACCGAGCCTGTCACCCAGACCACTGAACCTGTCACTCAGATTACCGAACCTATCACCCAAATCACTGAACCCTTCGCATGAAGCACAGCACATGTTTTTCTCCTCGTTGCTGTCACAAGACATGCCACCTGGCCGTAGCTCACGGAAGGAGCGAGATGAAACGCAAGATGAAACGCAATCAGGCCGGCTGGAGCAGCTGGGGCAGCTGAGAAGATCGCTGCAGCTTGGCTTGCGAGGGAGCAACAGGTGCAAGGCAGAACGGGACGGTCAGGAGGGAGACGGGGATGACAATGACAGTAGGAGAGCAGCTCAGGCTAGAAGACGAGCAGCTCAGGCTAGAAGACGAGCAGCTCAGGCTAGAAGACGAGCAGCTCAGGCTAGAAGACGAGCAGCTCCGTGCAGCACAGAGGGGAGGAGGATACAAGAAGAGGAGGAGCAGGAAGAGGATGCAAGCACGAAGTGTCTTTTGATTGTAGGGGCGGTGCATGGCAGGAGCCATAGCAGTGATTGGGCGTGCACAGGAGAGCAGGACTGCAGACCGATGCTCTCAGCGTTCCATCATTCCACCTCCTTCAAGGCTGTATCTCTGCCTGCCTCTCCCTCCGCTTCCCCCTCCGTCTCTCCCTCTGCATGTCCCACGGCAACTGGTGCTTCCACATCAGCTTCTACTTCGTTCCTCTCTGTGCCATCGTCTCTCCTCTCAGCATCACCCTCTTCCCTAGCCGCTGCAGCACCAGCTGCAGCAAAAGCCCTGGGCACAGCCGTGCGTGCCGAACCTGGGTCAAAAACACCAGGCAGGGGTGTGCGAGTTGACGCGGGACTCAAAGCACTGAGCAAGAGCATGGGGGCCGACACGGGGTTGAAAGCGGTGACAACGCTGAGCAAATCGGTGGTGTCGGGTTCACAGAAGGGCCTGCTGTCGCTTCAGCAGACGGTTAACACCCTTGTTGATAAGTACAACAGGGGGCAGCAGTGGAGCAAGGACAGGAACCTGACAGGCAGCTCACACGCAGCACAATCTGCAGCAGCACCACATGCAGCACCGGTTGCAGCAGCACATGCAGCACCAGTTGCAGCAGCACAGGCGGCAGGACAGAGCAGGCGAAGAGGAGGCTCCCCCTCCTCCTCCCTGGGTCCTCCTCAGCTCTCTCCTGGATTCAACGTGTCGAGCCAAGGGCTGCGGACAGCAGGGCAGCAGCAGCATCGCAGAACCTCCTCCGCTGGGGATGTAAATATGATCCACAACAACGCCAATCGCGTCTCGCCACGTCAGCGCCTCGCCCGATCACCCGATGACCGCTCTCCCTTACACCTCTCACTCCGTGGCAGCTCTCAGCAGCAGCAGGGCCGTGTGATCCAGCCCAGCATCGAGCAGCAGAGTCCCCGCGTTCTCTCCCAGCAGATGCATGCCGCACACAGCAGCAAGCGGCAGACCTCTGGCCCTAACAGCAGCGGCAGGAGTTGGAGAAGCAGCGCGGAGACAGCCAGACAGCTGCGGGCAGCAGTGACTTCTGAGGCGCCTCAAGGAGCGTCTGGGTTTACCAGGGGTGGCAGGAGCTGGAGGAGCAATGCAGAGACAGTGAGGCAGCTGCGGATGGTGGGAGGGGAGGGCAGGCAGCAGCATGTGCCGTGGAGCAGGAGGGTGGGCCAAGAGGTGCCTCACAGGCCGTGGCACAGGAGAGCTGCTTCGGGCGATGCTGGTTCTGCTCCAAACTTCTTTGACAGGTGCGTGCACTGAACCTGGTGAACTCTTCGATTGATTTTTGCATCACCCGTCTGGTTTGGTTTGGACGTGTTTTTTGAAGAGGGGAGCTTGGTTACCCAAACACGTTCTTTGTTGCCTGCCCATAATGGAATGTAAATCAAGCTGTGACCATTATGCACTCACTCGCCCTGGCACCCACCCGTGTACTGGACGTACAGACTGGATGACCTAAGCTCTGCCATTAGGACAAGTTACCTGTTGGAGTAGGACGAGTCACCTGCTGGATCCAGGTCGAAACTTTATACGTATGTGACCATTATGCACTCACTCGCCCTGCCACCCACCCCTGTACTGGACGTACTGGATGACAGCACAAGAAGAGTATCGGTTGCCGACCAACTGAGAGAGCTTCTGGAGGCAGAGACCGGCTCCAGTCAAGTGGAGGGCAATGAGGTCAGGAGAACAGCGTCTGGAGAGAGTGAACCTGGAGGGGAGGAATCAGAGGAGCGAAAGCTGGTTCGGGTCGATGCGTTTGACCTGGCTTCAATTCTGAAATCCAGTAGGTGAATGTACGTGTTATTGATGTTGTACGAAAGTGTATTTATATACCCATATGTTGATACCTTTTATACAGTGCACATTCAGCGAGTAACTCTGCTCAGCAACTCCTGCAGCGCCACAGCACCGTGTCAGTACTATGTGGTCGATGAGGTGGTGTCACCGTCGATTTTTTTAGTCGATTCACAAATCAAGCCAGTAACACCGATAAGCAGCAACTCCTGCAGCGCCATAGCACCGTGTCACTGTGTGGCAGCTGAGCTGGATTCAAACAGCCGGAGCGCAGCAATGGTTACCACGTTCATGAGGCTCAGCTGCTCTGCCATGCCTGCCAGCATTCGCTCCCTCTGCCACGAGAAATGGAAATGCGGAGAGACAAGAGGGAGGGACAAATGGGAGACAGTGGGGAGAAACAGGGGAAGGACCAATGCGAGAGACAATGGGGAAAGACAAAGGGGAGAGAAATGGGGAGAGACGATGGGTTTTGGGTTAAGGCAAAAGTTCAGGTACAAGGGGTCAGGTTGGGATCCTGTGCGATCGAAACAATACACATCATTGGGAGTCAGGATGTGAGACTGGGTACAGCCAAACCAACCTGCCGAAGCTGGTGAGTCAGCTCGGGAGACAGCTCCGGCTGCGAAGCTGCAGGCTCGGCAGCTGCAACCGCAGCTCCGAACCAGGAGGACCAGAGAGAAGTCACCCCTCTTCCACTACCTCCAGTGCCCTCTCCTTCCTCCTCTTCATCATCCTCCTCCCCTACATCTGCTCCTCCACCTCCTGATTTGCCTTTCTCAGCACCAACAGCACCAGCAGCAGAAGCACCACGACCACCGCCAACAGCAGCAGCAGCAGCAGGAGTGAGAGTGGAGGGAGGGTTGGTGGGCATGGCTTGGCGTTGAAAGGAGAGATGGTGCAGGGCGAGTGAGAACCAGTCCATGGACTCAAAGGTAAGGCGCTGATTGGCCACCTGGCAGGAGAGGACGCACAGATGGGGTGCACTGCGGAATGATTCTGCAAATTCTAGAAGAAAAAAAAAATGTGACTCGATGCATGAATATTGAGGGAAGCGCTGATTGGCCACCCAGAGCGCGAAAGAGCCAATAAGTGGACAAATAAGGGAGGCGGGGCAGAATACACCAGGCGAATCACGGTGTAAACAGGAAAGCTAGAGGTTTTTGCGTGACAAGAAAATGCTTTTGCAGTCCGAGATATGAGCATCTGGTGAACAAGAAGCAGCAGTGGCATCAAACCAGGAGGACCAGAGGGAAGGCGGCGATATTTAAGGCGCCGATAAAAAAAAAAAAAAAAAAAAAAAAAAAAAAAAAAAAAAAAAAAAAAAAAAAAAAAAAAAAAAAAAACGCACCTCGAGAAGGAAAAGCTTCTTCTCACCATGAGCAGGAAAGCCACTCCCAGCATGAATCCATCATCAGGACTATTGACACGTCTCGATAAAATATTATCCTCACACGGAGTGAGCAGGAGTGCTGGTAACGTACCGTGAGCAAGAAAGCCACTCCCAGGGTGAATCCATCATCAGGCAACCAGTCGTCATCCTGCCCCTCCCATGCGCCCCCCTCACCCTCTCCCCCTCCCTCCGATCCTCTCCCTCCCTCACTCCTGCCGGCCCCATTATCATTCCTGCCTCCCTCCACGCGGCCGTCCCTGCCACCACCCGCCACTGCATCTGCCAGCCTCTGCTGCGCTAGTTGCTTCTTGGACGCCAGAAGGAGAGAGAGCGGTGGGATGGCGGCAGGGAGTGTGAGGAACGGGCGATGAGGCGAGGCTTGCAGCTCCTGAAAGAGATGGGAGGGGGTGTGAAAAAGGAGGGTATGTGAGTCAACGCAAAAGTCCCCCACACGGCCGTCCCTGCCACCCCCCGCCACTGCATCTGCTCGTCTCTGCTGCGCTAGCTGCTTCTTGGAAGCCAGAATTAAGGAGAGCGGGGGAATGGCGGCAGGGAGCGTGGGGAAAGGGCGGTGAGATGAGGCTTGCAGCTCCTGAAAGGGAGGGAAGGATGCGAGAGAAAGTGGGGAAAGAGTCAGGGGGGAAGGGGAGGAGGGAAGGGGGCGTGGGAAACGAGAAATTTCAGATGACTCGACAGGGCAAACGAGGAAGAGCATGAGGGAGCATGAGGGACAGTAAGCAAGTGAATGAGCCACTGGTGGTGCTGGCAGGGTGGACGCGTGCCTTATGAAAGAGGTTCACGAGCAGATAGAGCAGAGGCACAGGGTGAGTGTGCATGGCTGGGTGATTTTTAAGTCGACTCACATATTGAGTCGACTAAGAAAAGGGTGTGTACCTTTTGAAAGAGGTTCACGAGCAGATGGAGCAGCGGAACAGGTTGAGTGTGCGCTGCTGGGCGGAGGGTATTGGAGAGCGCGGAGAGGAGGAGGAGCGGCTGGTGGGAGAGGGGCGAGGCGAGGAGGATTCGGTGGAGGGGCGACCCTGCAGCGTGTGAGGGAAGGGCGCTGGGAGAGGGAGGGATTGAGAAGGAGGAGACAGGAGAAGGAGAAGAAGAAGGGGTTACAAAATTGCTCGTGAATCTCAAAGGACGAAATGAAAGTATCAAGAGGGACTAGGAAAAGTGCCGGAGGTAGGGTGCTCCAGCCAGCAGCATCCAAGCCATCTCAAGCAAGTAATACTTCTGCTAAGCACGATTTCCTTCAGTTGATCTCACCTGAGAGTGTGTTCCGCACTGTGGCAGGTAGCTGTAGCAGCAGCCAAGACGAACCCGAGCGATACACCCATCTCCCTCACCTCTTCCATCACCACCTCCCCCCACGGCCTCTTCTCTGCCCCTCCTCCCCCTCCTCTTCCTCTCTTCTCATCTTTCCTCTTCCCTGCAACCCCGTGCGCTGCACTTGCTACAGATGCTGCAGTTGCGGTTTCTTTTGCTGACGATGATGCAGGGGTGGCAGATGTATGGTGGGATCTGGTAGCAGGGGCAGGCTTGCCTGTCCGCCAATCAGGGTCCACTGATATCTCCTGCAGTTTCTGTTAGAGGTGGGAAGAGCAGAGCGGCGGCAGTTCAGAGAACAGGTAGGGGTTACATCGAATCTCTATGTGCATGCCTCCAAGCATCGCTACAATCGGACGGCTATTCAGTTGAATCACAACGAGGCAGTGCAGACAACAAAGAGGATGCATTGAATCTGAATGTATGTGCATGTGCATGCGCATATGCATGTGCGCCCGTGCATGCACACACACGGACAAGTGCGAGGCGAGGTGGTGCCATTCAAATGCTCGCAAGCAACTGCTGGTCAGACTAAAAAGTGGAAGCCGTAAGAAGGGGTGGTGCAATGTAGACGCTCGCATTGCTAAACAGATTCAAAGCACAATAAAAGGTAGGAGCTCACATTGCTAAGCCATTGTAAAGCGCAATGAAAGAAGGTGAGGAGGTTAGAGTGCTCACATTCTTGAGCTCATCTACTGCCTCCATTGTCAATGCCATGCCAGCAGAAACTGGAGTAGAGCCGCCACCACCACCCACACCAGTGCCACCAGCAGCACCAGCAGCACCTTTACCACCAGGAGTAGCAGCAGCAACAGCAGTGTTAGCAGGATTAGCTTGAACATTTGCTTGCGTTTCCTGATGCTGATTTTCTTGCTTCTGCTGCTGCTGTATTTGCTTCAAAGCCTGCAGCAGCAGCGAGTGTGCTCTGTCATGCAGGAACAACCTCGACAGGTGAGACAGCTTCCCTGCTATCAGCTTGCACGCTGACGTTGCAGCGTGCTGGAGGAACAGCATGGCATGCGTGGATTGGAGGAGAGCGGCCAGCTGGCGCAGCTTGAGCGACTGAGGCCCGTGCGAGGAGAACGCCGGTGATGAGTCAGCATGGCGGGTGGAAGGGGTGGGTGAGGAAGGTTCGTGGAAGCTGGCCAGGGAGGAGGGCCGTTGGTGGAAGGTTAGGGTGGAAAGGTCGAAAGAGAACGCAGAGACGAAGAACGGGAGATTGGCAGCGAGTGAGGGAGGATGGAGGATTGAGAAGGGAAGCGCGGGAGAGGCGGTGGAGGTGGAAGTGGGGGGGCTGTGGAGTCTGAACGCTAGGCCTCCTCCTATGGCGATCGGTGGCAGAAGCAGCCGATATTTGCTGGCCGCTAGCTGTCTCACGTCCTCGCCTAGCTGGCAACGGTAACCGGCACCAGGGAGGAGAGGAAAAGGACCCAAACAATACCAATGTGCTTGGTTGATTGATTATGGAGTCACAAGGTGAAGGGATTTTGAAACAAACCAGACAGCCCCCAGTGCAAATAACTGCTAAGATTGAAGCAAGGAAGAGGAGAGGCAGGTTGGGGAGACAGAAGCAATCAAGGATTGAATATGCCAATAGTCGAATATCAAATTGCCAAGCGCCAAGCATACAGACCTTCCAGTTGGCAGGAGCGGCTGCAGTGTGATTATAGAGGGAGGCTGCCAGTGCTTGTGTCACGTGTGCTTGTATGTCAATCTGCCTGGAGAGCAGGCGGATGGGCAGCAGCTGCAGGAACTGCAGCAGGTTGCGCACCCCTGTCTGCTTGCAGGGGTGGTGAGGGGATTTGGAGAGGGGGGGATGGAGGGAACACAGTGGGAATGCGGAGGATAGAATTGGGAGGGAGCTGGGGCACAGAGGAAGTACGGCAGCAGTAGGAACTGCTGCAGGTTGCGCACCCCTGTCTGCTTGGAAGGGTGGTGAGGGGATGGGGACACAGAAACTAGAGGATAAAAGTGAGAGTGCTGCTTAAGATATCTTGAAACACAGTGGGTGGGTTCTTGGAATTCTTAGAGAAAAAGTCCACTTGAGAGCGAGTGAGTGAGGGGAGGGCGAGAAGATCTGAGCTGTGTGATCGTCCAAGCGGATTTTGACATGTTGTACCTTGCGAGGGTTGAAGCGCGGATTGGCGGAGTGCAAATCGGAGTGGGAGATGGCGTGCAGATGGAGGTCTGCAATGACGTCTCGAGTGAGCGGCCGCAGGAATGACTGCAGACAGGAAGCAGGGGGAGGTGGTGCAAGTTGGGGAGGAGAAAGAGAGGGACTTTTGAGTGAGCGGCTGGGGGAGGGACTACTGAGAGAACGATGGGGTGAGGTGGGGCAAGTGGGAGAAGGGGAGAGGGAAGGCCAGTTAAGTAGCGACTGGAGGACTGACTGGAGGACTGACTGGAGGACTGACTGGAGGACTGACTGGAGGACTGACTGGAGGACTGACTGGAGGACTGACTGGAGGACTGACTGGAGGACTGACTGGAGGACTGACTGGAGGACTGACTGGGATAGGATGCATGACCTAGTTGCCAATCTTTTGGCTGGCCTTTGAAACTATGCTTCATACTAAATCTGACTGTGAATATTGCCATTCACCTGAACCAATGCAGCCTCCAGTTGATTCTCCAAACTGTAAACGTCACCCCACGAGATGGTCCGGCTGCCGCTTCTTCTCCCCGTGTGCTCTTTTGGCTGCTTCCCATGCCTTTCCTGTGTGTGCGGCTGCAGGATCAACCGTGCCCCATCCAAGAAGGCGTCTATCAGGTACCTGAGAGGTGGTTCACAGCGGGAGGGTGAAGTTACAGAAGGTATATCCAAGAAATCTATAAAACAAAGTCGTTCAAAAAGGCGCCTGTTAAGTACCTGAGAGGTGGTTCACAGCAGTAGAATTTGGTTACAGTGGGTTAGGCGAGGTTTCAGGAAGATGGGGGTTCAGAATGAGGGTGAGGGTGAGGAGGGTTCAGAAGGTAATCGCAAGAATGATTAAAAACGGTCATCCAAGAAGGCGTCTATCAGGTATGTGAGAGGTGGTTCGCATCAGTAGCATTGGTAAGATGGGTATAGTGGGTCGCTCGGTAGGATAAGCGAGGCTCATTACGGAATACAAAAGCAGGGAGCTGCACACTGCACAGAGCAGCAGCGGTGAAAAATGCTAAAGCACACGGTGGGATGGGGTCTCAGGAGAGAAGAGAGAATTACTGGAGCGAGGTGGGTTGGATGAGCGGCTGCGAGTAGAGAGCAGCAAGCGGAGGTGCAAGGAGATGCGGCCGCGAGGAGAGGAAGAAACAGGCAGTGGTGGAGGAGGAGGAAGCGGAGGACGGTGAGGAGGATGAGAGGGCGGGGAGGAGTGTAGAGAAGTGGAGCTGAGAGAGTAGGGATTGGCAGGAGGGGACAGTTTCGACCTGTGGATCGATTAGTGGGATTGGCAGAAAGCAGGGGGCGGAAGAGAAGAGGGGAGAGGAGGGGGTTGTTGTTGGAGGAATGTGGGGGGGAGAGAAGGGGAAAGATTGAGGCCCGAAGGATAAGCCTTCACGAACTTTTGACACGAGTGAACGGTGGGGAAAAGGATAGATGTGCTTGTACAGGGGGTGAAGGAGGGGTTACTGCAAGCGGAAAGAGGAGGTGCTTACAAGGGGAGGGAGGAGGGCACAGGCAGTCGAGAGGAAGGAGAGGAGGCGATCCGATGGCAGCTGATGCCACGTCAGCTGAAGCATGCTCGTGAGCTGGAGGGTAGGGATGGTGAGTGGGGTGACAGAGGGACTATGAGATGGGGTGTGGATGGTGCGATGGGAGAATGTGACAGAATGGGTGCATCCGGAGGGAAGGATCTGTGGATGCAATGTGTGATCTGTTAGCGTTGTGTGATGTGGTGTGGCGTGTGAAGGGGTGACGGGAAGGGGTGACAGGAAGGGCTAGCAGGAAAGGAACTTACAGTGGCAATGGAGTTGACAAGCTTCTTGTGGGCATCCATGGCAGCTGCAGTGGCACAGCAATACAGCAGCACAGCAGCACAGCAGCACAGCAATACAGCAGCACAGCAGCACAGCAGCACAGCAATACAGCAGCACAGCAGCACAGCAGCACAGCAATACAGCAGCACAGCAATACAGCAGCACAGCAGCACAGCACATAAGGACATGTGAAGGAAAGGAGTGTGACGTGATGTGATGGTGCTGATGAATCATTTGGGCATGGAAGGAAGAGTCGCGGCGACTTTTGAGGAGGATAGCGGAGGATAACCCTAAACCCTCAAAAGTCGCCTCATGGCGTTACATTTATCTCTTTCTTTTTCTAGCATATGTATATGATGAGCCTCCCGTTACACAACGGCACTTTGTATGCGTGTACAAAAACATCAAGGCGCGAACCACTACCGGCTTTGCTGATGTATGGCATTTATGGCATGCCTCAACTCACCCCTGTTGACTTTTGAGTCGACTCAAAAGTCATTTATGGCATGCCTCAACTCACCCCTGTTGACTTTTGAGTCGACTCAAAAGTCATTTATGGCATGCCTCAACTCACCCCTGTTGACTTTTGAGTCGACTCAAAAGTCATTTATGGCATGCCTCAACTCACCCCTGTTGACTTTTTGAGTCGACTCAAAAGTCATTTATGGCATGCCTCAACTCACCCCTGTTGACTTTTGAGTCGACTCAAAAGTCATTTATGGCATGCCTCAACTCACCCCTGTTGACTTTTGAGTCGACTCAAAAGTCATTTATGGCATGCCTCAACTCACCCCTGTTGCTCCAAGGGAAGAGAGAGCCTGCAGGCAGGGGCGCTGAAGCAAGCAGAGCAGCAACCGATGATGGCGACTGGCCTGCCAACTCGCTCCCTACCCCACCCCCTCCTCCCCCCATGCCCTCGCTCCCTCCTTCCGCACCCCCTGGCGGGTGTTCCTGGAAGGGAGACGGTCGTGGTAGCTTCGCTAGCTGATCCATCTAGTGGTTTCAAAATGGGGTGACGGAATATGACGGGGAGGGAAGGGGAGGAAGACGGGGGTGGGGAGCGGATGGGTGACGCGAGCGGGGAGTAGGGAATAAGTGAGAGAGAGAGAAAAGGATGGGATGAGAAGGGGAGAGGGGGGGCACACAAAGTGTGTGGTGTAGGCTCGAGGTGGTTATCACTTTTGGGAATTCTCAGAACACAAAGTATATGGTGGAACAGCAGAGACTGTTGTTGCTGTCAAGATGCTGCAACTGGCCGAATGAAAACGGAAGGTACCTGGGAAAAACACCTGAGAAGAGCCTGAAAGCACCTGAAGAGGCAGCAAGGCTGCGTTGAGCTGTCGCAGCAGGTGCTGCTGGTACAGAGGCAGGTGGAGGGAGAGCGAGGGGAGGCACGCTGCCAGAGCCGACTCCACTTGCTAGCGTAAGGGGAGCAGGAGCAAAGCAGGGAAAAGGAGGGAGTGGGGGCCGGGGGGGAAAGAAAAAAAACTAGAAACTAGTTCACACGCGGAAGGGAAGACAATGATGATACGATGAAAATGTACGCGGCATAAACATATGATGACAACGTGTGAAACTCCACCTTTCGTATCTTGGTACCGGAACTCACACGTCAGGACTAGAGCCGAACGACTAGATTCACCTTGATTGCTTGCAGCACTGCAGCCACGAGCACAATCTGACGCCTCTTGAGAGACACCTGCCATGATGACGACAGCAGACAGCATACGACAGGAAAACAAACGCCCCATAAATCATTCTGGTCGGTGCACGGAAGGGGATGCAGGACTTGGAAACTGTACACTTAGTGTTGGTATATAGGTCTCCTCTGAAATCTGAGCTGTGGCACACACACTTCACTCGTAATGCTGAGAGCAACCGGCGTCGTGAAGCTCACTCACCCGCAGGCTGGCGTGCAGTTCAAGCAGAGTCTGGACCTGATGCCTCGCGCTGCACGTGACGGCAAGAGTCTGCAAAGAACGTAACGTACAAAAGAGGAGGTAAATCCTGTTTATTTACAGAAATCCACCTCGCTTGGCATGTGACCAAGGCAGGTGTGACCTGACTGAAACATGTGAGAGTGGGTAACGTGTTTCTTTTCAAGAGTGTGGGATAAGAGACGATGTGTCTCTCGAATAGACCGGCTTGTCTCCTCGCCTCGACGCCTCCTGCTTGCTACCTACTTCCTACTCCCTCCTGGAGGAACAAGGAGGTGAATGGGAACGCTAAGAATGCTAAGACAGCATACACACACCCACACCCACCCACACCCACACCCACACCCACACCCACACCCCACACCCCACACCCACATCCACCCCACACCACCCCACACCACACCACACCTGCATGCAATGTACACAATATAAAACCCCCCACCTGCTCCACCAGCTTCACTTGACTCCCCACCGCCTCCTCCAGGGAATCGCACTGCAAAGACAGCCTGAGGGGGAGCCTGAGAGCTGCGGAGAGAGAGGCAGCTAGGGGAGGGAAGGCTGATGCGAGCCTGGTATGTGTGGGGATGTGGAAGATGGGAGGAAGGGGAAGAGATTGACCGAGATTTACTCAATAAGGATTGAGGGGGAGCCTGAGAGCTGCGGACAGTGAGGCAGCCAGGGGAGGGAAGGCTGACGCAAGCCTGAAGTGTGGGGATGTGGAAGATGAGAGGAAGGGGAAGATATTGAGCGAGATTTACTCAACAAGGTCCGAGGGGGGAGCCTGAGGACTGTGGAGAGCGAGGCAGGTAGAGGAGGGAAGGAATGAATCAGCTGGGACAGGAATGCCGAACAGCATTCCTGGCAGGAATGAATCAGCTGGGACAGGAATGCCGAACAGCATTCCTGGCAGGAATGAATCAGCTGGGACAGGAATGCCGAACAGCATTCCTGGCACAATCTAGGAGGACGGCAAGGCACCATCACCTTCCACACATTGGCATGGAGGTGATCTTTTAAATGACTCAAAAATCACGACAGAAAGACCGAATGGCCATTCCTAGCACAGTACAGGAGGAAGGCACCACCAATGCCATGCACACCTTGGAAGGTCTTCATTAGCCCGATCCAATGCTCCTCTCAATACATCCTCACACACCTCCCTCACTCCACGCGCACTCTCTCCCCCGTTCCCTCTCTTCTCTGCACTCCCTTTCACTGCTTTCACCCCCCCCTTTCCGCCTGCCCCTTTTGCTCCCGCCTTCCCCCCACCCTTCCCCTCCCCCAGGGCAGAGAAGGGCGCAGGGGAAACCGCCAGCAGGGCAGGGGGGAGGTGGAGGGCGAGGAGGGGGGGGAGAGAGGCGGAGAGGGGGAGGGGTCCGGCGAGAGGTAACAGAGGATGTAGCCTGACTGCTTCGAACAGGCTTGGGGTGGCCTTCATGAGTTGCTTCTCATAGCCCGATGCTGCCACGAGAACGAAAAAGGTGAATGATTAGGGTGAGTATCGATTCTTGAGTAGAGACGAGAATAGAAACAAATACACGAAAACAAGAAACAGATTAAGAAGGTACCAAAGAAAAGACCAATCTAGTGGGTCACCGCACCAGCTACGGGTGCGAGGGAGAGGAAGAGAGCGACGCATCCAGCTAAGTGGCTTTTGAGTCGGCTCAAAAGTATGTTTTTTTAGTCGGCTCAAAAGTAGGTTTTTTTAGTCGGCTCAAAAGTAGGTTTTTTTAGTCGACTCAAAAGTAGGTTTTTTTAGTCGGCTCAAAAGTAGGTTTTTTTAGTCGACTCAAAAGTAGATTTTTTTAGTCGACTCAAAAGTGGGTCACCTCACCTGCTATGGGTGCGAGGGAGAGGAAGAGAGCGATGCATCCGGCTAAGTGGCGACGGGTGTTGTGCTGCTCGGAGTGGCTGCCTGGCAGTGCAATTGACATGGTGGGTGGGAAGAGACAGGAGAGAATTCTTTAGTCGACTCAAAAAGTGGTGGTGGGTGTTGTGCTGCTCGGAGTGGCTGCCTGGCAGTGCAATTGACATGGTGGGCAGGTGAGGACGGGAGGGAAGAATGGGAAAAGGAACGAGAGGGGGAAGGGGAGGAATAGGGGAAGGATGACAATGAGCACGAACTTATGATGGCATGGAGAGCAAAGCTGGCAGAGGAGTTGCGATGAACCACCACCAGCAACGTTTGAGGCATCTTAAAAGTTGGACAAAACAGAACGCACCAATGGCATGGAGAGCAGAATCAGCAGAGGCGTTCAAATGAGTCACCAGCGGCAGCAGCCACTTCTGCTGCTGCCGTGCTGCCACAGCGCCCGCCCGCTCAGCATTTTTTTAGGCGCCTCAAAAGAAAAGAGCTTACCGATGGCATGGAGAGCAGAATAAGCAGAGGCGTTCAAGTGAGTCACCAGCGGCAGCAGCCACTTCTGCTGCTGCCGCCACAGCGCCCGCCCGCTCAGCACCTGCCGCCCCCCACTTGCCTTTGCCCTGCCCCCCTTTCCTCCTTTCCCAGCCTTAGCTGCAGCAGCGAGGGGAGGTGCCTCAGGACCCACTGCCCAGGCTGCACTCTCCTTCCAGCTCTGTGAAACGTCCGGTGGGATGAAAGGGGAGGCGATTATAAAAAATGGATGGGAGGGGAGGCGATCCCAGTTTTTAGATTTTGGATACAATCAACAAGAAATGGAGGGGCTTGTTGAAGAGATACTGGGAGGCGGCACGATTTGTTTGTTATTGCAGAATATTAGAAAGGACAAAGGAAAGAAGATAGGGAGGCGAACAAAGGAGAGAAGGAATGTGGGGAAACCTACCTGGAAAAATGTTCCCTCCTGGCCTTGCGGCCCTATTGCTGCTTCCAGCATCATCAGCAGCCCCTGAAGCTCCGCCAGAGACAGCTCGAACTCTTCGCGTTGACCTCTGCTGCTTCTCCCTCTTTGTTTCTGGTGCCGCTTTGCACCGCTGTGCACCGAGGAGTATGCCTCCATGTTACAACGCACTGCCTGAAGCATTCTGATTGGCAAAAGGGTGTTGGAAGAAGACGAGTGAGAGAGAGCGGAGAGTAGTGGATGGGAGAGGAATAAACAGGAGGGGGCAGGATGGAAGAAGGGATGGATCATGAAAGGCAATTGGAGGGGGTTGACTTTTGAGTCGACTCAAAAGTCAACTCGAGGGGGCAGGATGGAAGAAGGGATAGATCATGAAGGGCAATTAGAGGGCTGTGGATATAGAGTGGGTGATGGAGAGGGAATGGACGTGAGGAGTGGGCCAAGCCAAGGCAATGAAAGAAGTCAAGAAATATCAGCGTCTGTGTGTGAATGAATGCCCACCCCACCCACCACACCCCCACCACGCACCTGTTGTACGCAGCAATCCCCCGGGCAACAGCAGGGTTGGCAGCAAGTGCCGAGTCGATCACCAAGAGCACAGCCGCCCCTGCTGCAAGCGCGTCTAGTGCCGGCTGAGAAAGTTATCAAGACGGGGTACACAGAAAGGGGCAAGCGGGGTAAGAGAGATGCAAACGACAAGGGAGGGTTGGCAGCAAGTGCCGAGTCGATCACCAAGAGCACAGCCGCCCCTGCTGCAAGCGCGTCTAGTGCCGGCTGAGAGGGTAGCAAGATGGATGGGGTTAGCAGACAGGGGTACCAAGAACGAGCAGCACAGGGTTAGAATGCAAAAACGAGCAGAGAAGGGTTGGCATCAAGAGCAGATGCGGATTCGATTACCAAGAGCACAGGCGTCCCTGCAGCCTGCCCATCAGTAGGAGTAGGTGGGGAAAGGAAAACAACCGTGATTCTTTAGGTGCGGGGATGAGTGGGTGAAACAGAGGCTAAATTGCTTCACTCGGCTAATGTTATACAGGAATGCATCAAGACGCACTGTGAAGTACTCGGTTGATTTGAACCAATCAGAACGAAGAAGCTCCTGAACCCCTCATCCGCCTCCTCCTCTCCCAATCCGCCTGCTAATCCTCCATCCCACCCTGCGCCCCTCCCATCCTCCCCTCCAACTAGCTCCACGAGCAGCACAACAAGCTCCTCCATAGTGGCAGTGAGGTCCTTTCTCACCAGCACCAGCGCCTGCAGCTCCATTAACACACTTACTGTGAAATACTCTGTCGATTTGAACCAGTCAGAACGGAGAAGCTCCTGAAGCCCCTCATCTGCCTCCCCCTCTCCCAGCCCTCCATCCCACCACCCTGCGCCCCTCCCATCCTCCCCTCCAACCAGCGTCACGAGCAGCACTAGAAGCTCCTCCATTGTAGCTGTGAGGTCCTTCCCCACCAGCACCAGCGCCTGCAGCTCCACCAACACACGCGCCACCTGCTGCTGCTCCTCCCCTTCCACCCCTCCCGTTCCCTCCCTTCCCTCTTCCACTACACTCCCGCCCTCCCAGCCCGCCTTTTCAGCCTCCTCCACTGAATCACTTTCCTCGCATTTTTTCGAATCCTCCTCGGACCTATCCCGCCCCGCCTCGCTGTCATCACCTTGAGGTCTGCCACTCTTGCTTGTACCGCCCTCACCTCTCGCCTCAGCTGGTCCTCCTAACCCTCTACTATCATGTCTCTCTTCTTGACTCTCCTCTGATCCACCGTCTCCATCCCTGCCCTCCCGCTCCTCCCTATCCCCCCTATCCTCCGCATCACTATCCCCAGCTTCACCCGCATCCCCATCCTCGTGCTGATCAGCTATCGTTCCCCCCACAACAGAGGATGCTGCGTTGGAGGAAGGGAACTCAGGAGTAGCACTGGAGAAGGAGTGGGGATTGACGGCGGGAGATTTCCCAAATAGGAGCAGGCGTGGCAGCAACCGATGTAAGACCTGCAGAGGATGAGGTAAACAGGGAGAAATGGAGGAGGGGGGATGGAGAAGGAGGAAGGGGTAAGGGGGCAGGAAGGGGTTGAAAGAAGCAGGGGAAGTGAGGCAGGAGGCAGAAACGAGGGTGGGGAGCAGACGAGGAATGAGGAATATGAACAGAAAGGGCAGACAATCCTTTTTTAGAAAGGTTTTATGCATACACACACACCCCCACAGGCACTCCCCTCACCACAAATCGTCTCAAGTGTACCACACACACGCACATGCACGCACGCACGCGCGCGCACACACACACACACACACACGCACGCACACGCACACCTCCTGTTCTGCATCGTATATAGCACAGCATTTGGACGAGATGTGTTGAATGAGCAGATTCAACGAATCTGGCGACACTCGTGCTGAACCCTCTGCTTCTGCTGCTGCTGCTGCAGGTGCTGCTGCTGCCGAGGCCAATACAGAAGCTGCTATGGATGCTACAGCAGGATTCCTTCCGCCCCATGGCTCTGCAGATACGCCAATCACGTCGTGCCAGCTGTCTAATTCACATGCTGACTGGCTCCGAGACTGCAACTGGACATTGGACAAGTGTCAGAAGGGTTGATCTCACGGATAATTCTAGAATGAAATGGGAATCTTATACGGTACATGGAGCAACTGATAAAGGACTGACGGTGTTATTGCGGAAAGCAGTGGTGTGAGACGATGCGAGCTGATAACATACTGACCGAAATTGATACACGCGTAAGGATTCACAAGGATTTTTAGTCACAGGAATTTACACGAAAACACCAGAAGCGGAATCGGATGTGGGGAAGAGAAAGCGGAGATGCATTGACGAAGACAAGACCATACGCATGATGGTGGGTGCGCAGATACGTGAAGGAGGAGGTGCACGAAGCCAGTGTGCGTATAACGGGTTTGCACATACCTGGTGCGTCAACACCGACACGCGAGAATCCCAATCGTCCACGCATCGACGAAAGCTCTCGTGGTGCTGCTCCACTGCTGCTGCTGACGGTAGTGGTGCCGCTGATGGAGCCATGTCCGCTTACGCCTATCACGACCTTGTTTCTACCAGCTGACGCATGTACAGCCGTGCTTATCGGCTTTGGTTAATCGCAAGTCCAGTACTCATCGAGCCGCACTGATCATTCGTGTACGGGGGAGGCTACAGGCGGCAGAGGTAAAACGAAATTCTTCCACCATGTGCTCCAGCGCTGATGCAGTCTGGAAATTGCCAGGGATAGAACTCTGTTGGGTAAGGATTCATTTCAGGCTGTACTCGTTAATCACCTGTACAGTGCTTGTTTTAGTGCTCATTTCAGCTTTGCATCAATTAAAAACTCCTGTTGGAGGAAATATTAGGTTGTTATTCCATGGACGTTGGATTGATTGAAGATGCCCTTTATGTTGAAATTCCATTATCACTTCATGGTTTTTGTGACTCGATGTGAGGCTCTGCAGATCTTATGGAACTACTTACAGGAAACGTTACGGAACTTGCAATGAATGACATAATATGTTATCTAACCTATAAGTGACATGTGTATTATTCATGTACGTGGGCGATAACAAATCAACACACTCGAGCGTTGATCACGGTGGCTTGAACGGGAATCCCTTCTCTCGCCGTTCCAAATTTCGCCACACCAATTTACTGTTCAACGATCATCAGCGTTGCGGGAATTCAAACCTTTGCCCAATCAGACAGAACATCCGAACCGCAAATTAGGTGAACATTTTGCTCCCAACTTCGCATTCCCGCTTTTCATCGCCCGACGTTCATTTGTTCGTCATCACACATGTGACCGACCGCAACAGGGTGGGTGGCTCTCACTCATTTCCTACGGCCAGAAACGGCTTGTTTGTATGCAAGGTAGGCGGCCTACATGGTCGGCTGTGCTCATCCATCCACAACTCCTCGCTGATCTCGAGAGCTGTATCACTCTGACATGACTCTCGCTACCTTTTTTTCATATTACGTACTTTGCGAAAATTAGCCTAGAAAATAGACCTCGTGTGTGTTAGCACACCCCGAGATAACCCATCCAGCACAGCAGACAGTTATGGCGCCTTATCTAGATGCGCACAATTCACGTCATGCCTCGCTACTGGTCCAAGTCGCTGGAGCTCCCTACCTCAGGGCAACGATAGTTACAGCATTATTAATAGTTCATTTCGTGCTTCTGCCTCATCAATCCGAAGCAGCCGTGATAGAACCCTCCCAAGAAGACGCGCTTCTGGCGATAAAATCCGAATGGGGCGAATTCGACGGCTCAGATTCGTGGATCTCAGGAGCGGACTGCTTCAAGTGGTCGGGAATCAGCTGTGCCCGCAATGGCGACGTCAACGGGGTGATGCTCATTTCGTCACGTGTTACCGGAAGGATTTCGCCCACCTTCGGTGACCTATCGGCCCTCGAGAGCCTCACGCTTGTGGGGAACAATCTGACTGGCTCGCTTCCTGGCGAAATCAGCAACCTTCGGTTCTTACGGGAGCTTTACATTTCGGGAAACGGAGACGGGTTATCGGGACCTTTTCCAGAGACTGTCACAGCGCTTACGGAACTATCTATTCTTATCCTCTCCGACAACCAGCTGACGGGCAACGTTCCGCGAGGGATTGGCGAGCTCACGAACCTGGTAACCCTCTCCTTGAGCGAAAACAGTCTCACGGGTCGGATTCCTCGCGAAATCTCGACACTGCATCGGCTGACGTGGCTCGACCTTGCCTCCAACAGCCTGGAAGGAGCCATCCCGCCGCAACTCGCGTCGATGCGGTCACTCGTGGAGCTTTCGCTGGAATCCAATCGCCTTTCGGGATCAATACCTTCCAGTTTCGACAAATTTCGCGTACTTCGCACGCTTCGCCTGGGACACAATGTCCTCACGGGTGACCTTCCTTTCAGCGCGATTAACTCCATGCGGCGGCTGGAAGTGCTTGACCTTCATCGCAACTCGTTATACGCGTCTTCGTTAGCGCCATTAGCGGTACACCCTTCGCTACAGTACATCGATGTCAGCTGGAATCAAATCTCGGGCAGCTTTCCGGCGGAGTTCGCACAGTTGAAGAACCTGACGGGGCTGAGTCTTGCAGGCAACGCGTTGCAAGGAAAGATTCCACGAAACTTGTTGGGTACTGGCTCTCAGCTCAACTACCTCAACCTGGCTTATAACGGATTCTCTGGGATCTTTCCGTGGACGGCGCTACGCGACATGGAGAACCTCGATAGTATCACGCTCAGCCATAATCGGTTTGTGGGGATCGTGCCTCGTGATGCCCTAGTCAACGTCGCCCTGAGCTTCCTCAACATCTCCCACAATTTCTTCTCGGGCAGGTTGCCGGACTTAGCCCGACCAAATCAGGATTTTGCAGCTGATTTCAGAGGAAATTTCTTCTACGGGAGTGGGGAAGTTCTGGTGGGAGACGAACCGATTTGCCCTGCTGAATCCCCCAATCACTACACGCCAACTGGCACACCCTTGGATTTGCCGACCACAAAGCTACTCGCCTCCTGGAATTGCCTTGCTTCAGGCGATCAGGTCTGTCCTATGAAGTCTGTGCACCGTGCTGAGCTCTGCAGCACGTTCTGTGGCACCAATGCCACCAACGCTCCTTGCTTGGGCCATGGCGTGTGCGTCCCGGCGACCACTCTAGAGGATTATGAATCAGAGTCGCAACCAGATTATGGACCTGCTTCAGAAGAGTACCTGCAGTTTGAGTGTCTGTGCTTCAGGGGTTATCAGCTGGCTGAGGGTAGCAGGCATGAGTGCGTGCCAATGATGGCAGACATGACGTCAAGGAGGAAACGGCCAGCTAGTCTCAGTTTTAGGGGAGAAAGGTAGGCATCAGTAAGCCCAGTTGCTTTGCTAGCGCTTCTCAGTAGTTCTTCAGCAACTTGGCGGTGCTGTGTTGAGCTCGCCGTGTTACATATATAAGCTCACTAAAGTGAATCTTTCTTATAGAGCTTGCACATGTGAAGTCTTAAGAAAAAAACAAATGCAGCTGCGTAATCAAACTGTACTGGACGTTCTAATATGGTAGCCTGCCTGCCCCTCATCAACCATGCTACCCCGACAATTTATGGACATTTCAACTGGGCATGTGGGGTTGGAATGCCCATAAAAAATGGAAGGTAGGGGGGTTGTTAGGCTCAGTGTGGCTGTGGGTAAGGGGTATATCCGAGAGGTTTACCAACCCTTGACGTTTCAACTCATCGAGGCTTGTAAGGGGTGGAGTGGAGCGGAGACACATGGTTTGCAAGATATCAAGGCAAGAGAACAACTAGATAGTTCGCTTGGTACATGGGCTTATCATCTGAGATCAAGTTCGATATCATTTATGCTTTGCTACATAAAGTGTACCCCCCAAGTAAAATTACAGCTATTACATCCGAAGGGGAGTGTTGGAAAATAAGTAATTTAATCGCTTCTGTTGTGTGTCGAAACACTAAGTCGTAAACAAGGCAAAGCACAGCGAAGCATCGGCGAGTCAATACTTGGAGGTTGAGAAGAAAAACAACTGCTGGAGGTTACGCGAAAGTCAAAGGTCAGCGACCTTTGACCTGACAAATACAGCGCGACAGCAAGGACAAACAACTGACTCGTTACTGAGCAGTTGCCCGAGTCGGCACTGTATCAAACCGCAACAGCAACACTAAAACAGCTATTAGTTATATCTCTTCGTATTCCTTGTACTCTCTAAAAAAACCTTGTATTTCCTTGTTTTAATCAATCTACTTTGCCCTCGCATACCAGCGCAAGGTGGTTCAATGAGTTATCACTAAACGCTTCCGCTATTACATTGTTCCTACCCAGAGTTTAACCCTGCAAAGATCCTAAGGGCTTTTATCAGCCCAACATGGTATGAGAGCTAACAGGGCAAACTCAACCACTATCAAGACATCTACAACAAAAGGCATGGCAACACAAAAGGAGAGAAGTTCCTCTAATGGTTCTCCCGGCACTACTCCTACTCCACCTCCTGCTTCTGGTCTACAGACAGAGGAGGGCACATCAACAAGACCAGTAGCAGGGTCCACTGAAACTCCCGCAAATCAAGCCGCTGGCTTCGACCCAAGCATGATGGAGAAGTTATTCTCCATCATGGCCTTCTACGAACAACATCAGCAAGGGGCACCCTCGCAGTCAAACATCAGCAACAACAACAACGATGTGACACCGATGAGCCTCGACGGTTCATCCTACGCGCGAGGAAATCAGCAACAACAGCCTACCTTCGCCTCGTACGAACCCCAGCGCGGTTCCGTCAGCTTCATGCCGCGTCAGCAACCTTCACCTGAGCAAGAGAAGACATTGGATGCACTTCAAGTTCAGTCGCGGTTTGCACACGTCCTAAAATCGCAAACATCAAGGCCATTCGACGGTAAAGATTTCTTCACCCGGTCATTCGAGTTCGAGTTGATGATGGAAGGCGCGCAGATTTTTTCTTCGACGGGTCCCTGCCATACCCAACACACGGGACGCAATATGACAAGCAGCAGTACACATATCAGTCCATGATGGCATATACAATTCTACTGCGCAACTTCACAACAAACCAGCAGCAGAACATCCGGTCCTATCGGGGATACGGCAACTCGCCGAGCTTGCATACAACCACTTGAAGAACCTGTATTAAGCAACAGACAGCGTCAATCAGAGTCGACTAATGGCACAGCTGACAACAGTGGAAATGAAGCCTGGCGAAAAGGGAATGGCGTATATCAGGCGTTGTCGCGAATTGCGCGACAAACTTCTTCGATGCGGAGGCTCAATATCTAAAGACGCCTTCGTGACAGTCATCATCGGCGGCCTCGGTCCTCAATGGTGCTCCACATGAGCCATCCTCCAAGTCCACGGGAAAATCTCCGAAGCAGCACTCTGCGCCGAGATTCACGCTGAGCAGCAAGACATGGACCTGCAAGAGGAGCGGCACAAGAAGAAAACGTCAGTACCCGAGTTTGCATTCCACACTCAACGGCGCTACAACAACAACAACAACAACAGGCACCAACCAAAGCCCGTACCTCCATTCTGTCAT